CCCCATCGCCCTCCCGACGACCGGCCGCGGCCTCACGACGCCGACCGCCTCGTCGCTCGCCAAGGCGCGCCAGCGCGTCCCTTCCTCGTCGGGCAGCACGTCACCTAGCGCGGTGCGCGCCCGCACGCCGGGCAGCAGCCCCGAGCTGCCTCGCTCGGCTCGCATGAGCCCCTCGACGAGCCGCGACGGCGCAGCGAGCATGGCGCGCTCGCGCTCGAGCGGCGCAGGTGCAGCAGCAGGCGCTGCGTCGCCGCGGGGAGTGCCGGCAGCGTCTGCGCAGCAGCAGCAGGCGCAGTCGCCCTCACGCTCGCCCGCGTCCTCGGCGCGCGCGCCCGGGCCGTCGGCGACCGCCGCGCCCTCGCGCATCCGCGGCGGCGCAACGCCGCCGATGAAGATGGCTCGTCGCGGGAGGATCGGGCTTGCAGGTGCGGGCGCGTCGAGGCCGGCGCCGCCGTCGGCGGCGGCCGCCGGGGAGCGCGAGGGGCACGAGGGTCCGAGCGGCGAGGCGGCGCCGGCCGAGAGGGGAGCCGGTGCGCAACAGCAGGACGAGGGAGCGGAAGTGCAGCAGGACGAGCAGGAGCAGGGTGAGGGTGTGGGCGAGCGCGAAGCCAAGCTCGACGACATGCCCGTCTTCAAGGGCTTTGGCGCCGCTCGCCCTCACGGGCACATCCCGATCCCGATGGCGCACACGGGCGCCGACGGCGAGCCCAAGCGCGCTGTAATGGCCGACGAGGTCGAGGCGGCGGGCAGGAAGGCGGCGCAGGAGGAGTCGAGCCCGGGCGAGCAGGAGGAGGACAAGGTCGACGAGCAGTGACGCAGCCCGCACGAGTAACGATCCGCAACGAGTCTTTGCAACAGCATCTATTGACAGTGACGAGAGAGAGAGAGAGAGGTACAAGAGAGCTCTGGCGCGCCGCCGCTCTCACTGCCTCGTCAACAGCGCCCAGCTCCAGTCCTCCTTGCCGAGCGCCGTCCTGACGTTGACCGCCCCGCCGCTCGTCGAGCTCAACTCGCTCCCGAGAAAGTAGTCGCTGCGCGCGAGCACCTGCTGCTCGACGACGGCGAGCACGTCCATGTAGCTCGCCGACGGACCGAGCTGCGACGAGTCGGCGGGCGTGACGAGGTCCGAGAGGAGGACGGCGCCGTGCGAGCGGTAGTAGGCGAGGGCCGTCGCGTTGCGCTCGTCGGTCGCGAGGTAGAAGCTGTTGGGCGGACGAGAGAGGTGAGTTGGCGCCGCTAAGGATAGAGAGGGCGAGAGAGAGAGAAAGAGAGGAAGCGAGGACGCACGGATCGTCCCCCCTCGGCAGCCGCTCGTCAAAGTGCGCCTCGAGCGCCTCGACGCCCTCGCGCAGCGCTGCCCTCGTCTTGTCAAAGTGCGCCTCGGCGTCCTGCGCCGGGCTCCACTTGATGCCGACAAAGTCGCTGCGCCGCAGGTGCGCAGCGAGCCACCTCCTCCCCTCGACGCGCTCGCCCATGCGCTCAGCGAGGCGCTCGCCGAGGGCTCGAACGCCCGCAGGTGGGCGCACGCCGCGCACGACGAGGTCGACGTACGCCTGGCGGGCGGCGGGCGAGGTAAAGTACAGGCCGCCGGGCTTGCGCTGGTCGTGGAGGTTGCCGGCGAGGTAGACGATCGAGGCGTTGTTAAACGGCGGCGAGGCGAGCGTGTCGACGAGGGGTTGGACCTTGTTGCGCAGGGCGAGCTCGACCGACGGGCGGGCGAGGGCCTTGTTCATGAGGACCCTGCGAGAGGTGGAGAACGAGGTCAGGACGGAGTGGACGCGGCAAGAGGGGGAGAGTTCGACGCACTCGTCGCCGAACGTGTACAGGGGCACGACATCGAGAAGCTCGAGCTGGCGCACGAGGCCGTCGTCGTCGCCGTCGAGCTTGACGCCGCGTTTCCGCAGCGCGTCTCGCGCCTGCTGCGCCGTCCAGACTGCGCGAGAGCCGAGCGCGAGCTCGACGATGGCCGAGTTGAGCCCTTCCGGGATCTCGTCGGCGGGTGCGGCGACGACTGGCGGCGGTGGCGGCTGGTCGACACGGACGAAGGTGCGGTTCTGGAACAGGTAGTCGGGCACGGTCGCGGTCGTGTAGCCTTGCGGCGTGTAGTTGGTCGTGTTCCACCGCAGCGACTCGTCGTACAGGTTCGGGTCGATGCCGTACAGCTCGATCAACTCGCGGTAGGTGAGGAGCGGGCCGTAGGTGCGGCGGAGGTGGGGAAGGTCGAGGAAGAGCTGCGTCGGGCTTGCAGTCAGTGACCGAGTCGAGGACGGGATTCGTCACGAGAAGGAGGACGTACCTGGATCGGAAGCTTGTACGCCGGGCCGTCGTCGTTCCAGGTCGAGCCGACCACGTCGGCGTGCGCGTTGCGGTGTCGGAAGAAGCGCAGAGCGTTGGCCTCGCAGACGCTGTCGTCGACGGCGCATGACCTCGCCCAGATCGAGTCGGGCAGGACGGGTATCCGTCGAGCGATCTTGGCGAGCAGAAGGGTCGACTCGAGCATGTACCTGCGCGAGACGGCGGGGAGCAAGAAGGGTGAGCTGACGGACGACGAGGAAGGCGAGCGAGGGGACGGGGGCGCACCGCTGATTGTTGAAGCCGTACGAGGCCCAGCCGTCCTTGACGAGGTAGGTCGGGTTCTCGCCGACGATTTGCGCGAGCTCGTCGAGCGACGGCGCGACGTACGGCTCGTCGTCTGGTGGCGCGAGAGGCCGGGCCCACTCCTTGAGACGCGCGCCGTACTCCTTTGCCGTCACGACGCCGTGCGCGACGACCTTGTGGGTGTGGCCGGTTGCGGTGCCGAGTGCGGCGAGCGCGAGGACGAGGGTCGTCAAGGCGAGAACGAAGAGGGCGAGTCGAGAGCGGAAGAGGGGCGCGAGGCGGTGTCGCGGTCGGCTCGTGCCCTCGCCACCGACCAGGCGGTACCCGGACTTGGTCGTGCGGGTCTCACGCCAGTGCTTTGGGCCGTGGAGGGGGGAAGTGGGGGTCGGGCGGGCGATGAGGCGAGGGGGAAGGAGCGGGTCGCGGGAGGGTCGGCTCGCGGGGCGCGTCGAGCGTGTCGACTGGCGCGAGGTGCTTGGCTGAGTGTACAGGCTCGAACGAGGAGCGGGTGGGCTCGAGAGCGAGGCGAGGCGGTCTCTCGGCGGGCAGCGAGCTCGAGGGCGGCTCACGACACAGGTCTTTGGCCAAGCTGCTCGGACGAGGGTGTGGCCAGGCGAGTGTGGGGCCTTGTAGGGGTGCAATGCAGCTCAGGGAGGGTGAGAGAGACGCGCTGAGGAATGTTGGGCGCCAGAGCTCCTCTCGCTGCCCAGCTCGATGGCTCGTCCTCTTCCCTCCTCGCCACCCTCGTCGACCTCTTGGACGCGCACCAGCCATGCTCTCCCGCTCCCTCCGTCCCCTCGTCGCCGCAACCCGCGCCGCCGCGCCCCGCGCCCTCTCGTCGTCGGTCGCCAACTCGGCCCTCCAGGTCCAGCAGGCCTCGAGCCGCGCCGCCCTCCGCGTCGCCCTCGACGCCGCACGCTGCACCGCCGTCAGCACTGCCGGTGCCCGCCGCTTCGCCAGCACCGAGCCCAGCTCGGATGGCTCGGTCGACGTGAGTTCCCGCTCCCCCCCCTCCCCCGGTCGAGGATGCTCGAGGGGAGATGCGCCACGATGTCGCCCTCGTCGGCACAAGTGCCTCGTGCGCTCGCCCGATACGCCCACGACACTCGCTCGACGCCCACTCGCCCGCGCACCTCGTCGCCCCCCTCCCCCTCGACGAGCATTCACCACCACACCACCTCTCCCCCTCCCGCCCGCACCGCCGTCGCCGCCAACCTCAACCAACCCACTCGCCTTGCGCAACACGTTCACTGACTCACTCGCCCTGGACCTGCCACAGATGACCGTCCGCGAGGCGCTCAACTCGGCCATGGAGGAGGAGATGACCCGCGACGAGACCGTCTTCGTCCTCGGTGAGGAGGTCGCCCAGTACAACGGTGCCTACAAGGTGCGCCCCCTCACTGTCTCACGCACACCCAAGACCAAGGCCTCTGACACGTCCATTCACGCGCGCAGGTTACCAAGGGCCTGTTGGACAAGTTCGGCGAGAAGCGTGTCATCGACACCCGTGCGTCCCTCCCTCTCTCCCCCTGTCGCCTCTCTCTGCGCCCGAGCTGACGCCCTCGAGTCAATCTCGCCTGCAGCCATCACCGAGGCTGGTTTCTGCGGTATCGCTGTCGGTGCCGCGTTCGCTGGCCTGCGCCCGGTCTGCGAGTTCATGACCTTCAACTTTGCCATGCAGGTGCGTCCTGCGCGCCCTCTCTAGTACCGTCGAGCACTCATTGACCTCTCCGTCGACCCACAGGCGATCGACCAGATCGTCAACTCGGCCGGCAAGACCTACTACATGTCGGGCGGGTCCGTCGCTGCTCTCCCTGCCCTCTTCCTGCTCGAGCGAGAGTCCTGATTCGCCCCTGTTGCGCACACAGCAACGTCCCGTGCCCGATCGTCTTCCGTGGCCCCAACGGCGCCGCTGCCGGTGTCGGTGCGCAGCACTCGCAGGACTACGCAGGTGCGTCTCGATGTTCCTCTCTCCCTCCACCACGCCCGAGCCGAGCCTAACCTTCCCCTCGTTGTGCTCTCGCAGCTTGGTACGGTCAGATCCCGGGTCTCAAGGTCGTCTCGCCCTGGTCGGCTGAGGACTGCCGCGGCCTCCTCAAGGTACGCCCCCTCTCGTCCACTTCAGCCTGCCCTCGGCGTCCAGTCTGCTCACCTTACTCTCTCCTTCCCGCAGGCCGCCATCCGCGACCCGAACCCGGTCGTCGTCCTCGAAAACGAGATCATGTACGGCCAGTCGTTCAAGGTCTCGAAGGAGGTCGCCTCGCCCGACTTCCTCCTGCCCATCGGCAAGGCCAAGGTCGAGCGCGAGGGCACCGACGTCACCATCGTCGGCCACTCGCGCATGGTCGGCCTCTCGCTCGACGTCGCCGAGAAGCTCTACAAGGAGCAGGGCATCCAGTGCGAGGTCATCAACCTGCGCTCGATCCGCCCTCTCGACATCGACACCATCAAGGCGTCGGTCAAGAAGACCAACCGGTGCGTCCCACCTCTCTTTCGAGCAGGACGTGCGGCGAGAGCTTGTTGCGAGGCGGCACGGCCCGACTCGAGCGATCCTCGTCCTGAGGCTCGACGGTGCCACCTCGAGCATGCGCCTCGCCCCCTCGCCTGGACCCGCACGCCTCCCTCCTCACCTGGCGCACGTTACTGACTCTCTCACACGTCCCGTCTCGCAGCCTCGTCACCGTCGAGGGCGGCTTCCCCATGTTCGGCGTCGGGTCCGAGATCTGCGCCCAGATCGTCGAGTCCGAGGCGTTCGACTACCTCGACGCCCCGGTCGAGCGCGTTACTGGTGCCGACCTCCCGACCCCGTACGCCGCGTCGCTCGAGGGCGCCGCCTTCCCGGACGAGAGCGTCATCGAGAAGGTCGTCCTCCGGTCGCTCTACCGCTCGTGAGCGTAGCGCCGCCACCCACCTCCTTCTTCTTCGCCTCTCCTCGTCTCTCCCACCACCTGCCGTTACGACCTAAAAGGGCTCGGCGCACCCTGCCGGCCCTCGCACGTCTTCCTCGACGACGAGTGTCCCCCTCCCTCGTCCTCCTTCCTCTCTTCCCCCCTTCTCGCCTTGTCCCCTCTTTGGCCTTTGTTACCCCTTCCCACTTCTCTCTCTCTCTCTCTCTCTGCCTCTCTGTTCGGGTCTTTAGACGCGCTTTCGCCGCACCCCTCCCTTCGCCTCTCCCTCTCTCTCTCTGAATCGCAGGACCTCGCATCGCTGTTTCCTAGAGTCCGACGACCGCAAGAGCCACGCGAGAGTCGAGAGCGTGTACGACAGGCAAGCGTCGCAGGGCTTGCGCGCAGGGCGAAGAGCATCGGGCACGAGCGCTCGTTCCTCTCCCTTCTTCTCGGGCTTCCTCATCCGCAAGCTCTCACGTTCATCGCCCTCGCTCGACGCGTGTACTAGACTGCTCCTCGAACCAGTCGAGCCTCGCCGTAAGCTGTGCTCGGCGAGGAACTTGGACGGCGCGGCTCGAGCGCTCGACCTTCTCAAACTGCTTCGTCCGCGCTTGTTCGCCTCAAACTCGGTGCCGCTTCGGCAGTTCGACCTCGGAGCATCTCTTGACAGGCACTGGCTCGCAGACGAGAAGAAGGGACCCGCTCACGAGAGACGCTGGACCTCCTCCTCCTCCTCCTCACGCTTCCCTCCGTCGTCGCTCGTCTCTCCGCCACCTCTGTCGCAACGACACTCGCTTTGGTCTTTGCTCCATTCGGATAGAGAGGGACGCAAGAGGAAACGTCTGACGTGCGCTCGTGTGTACGAGCCATCAGCTGGCTCGACAGCTTGCGCCGTTCGAGCGATCCATCGAGGGCGCAGAGGATCGACTTGAAGCGTGCGCGCTGCGAGGTGCCTTGCGCGGGGCGGGCGCGCCTCGGATTCATTTCAGTCGAGTGACGCCTGTCGATCAGGTTGCCCGAGCGGGCGAGCTCGCATTTCTCCAGGCCAGGCTCGCCGCGACTCGCACCAACGACCTTCGCCCACCGCCCACCCCCAGCTCGCTCTCGACGGGTCCACGAGCAGCCGCCTGCACCCACTGCACGCGCGCACTCGGGCCACCACCGCATCCCTCGTCCGACCGCGGCACGAGAACCTGCCTTCCTCGTCGATCATCCATCGCGCCTCCTCCTCCTCCTCCCACCCCCTCCCCCTCACCCGTCCTCCTCGCCTACCAGCACCACCATGGGCCCCTCGATCCTCCAGGCCATCATGCGCGAGCCGACGCGCTCGTACCAGGACATCTACGACCCGAATCGGCCGCCGTCGCACCGACGCCAGCCCGGGTCGAGCGGGTTCTCGTCGCCGTCCACCTCGCGCCCCAGCTCGATCCGCTCGTCCGGCTCGGCCACGTCCACCCAGGGCCCGGCGTGGGTCAACGGCCAGTGGGAGTGGAGCAACTTCCAGGGCCGCAAGGGCCTCACGGGCGGCACGCGCTCGCTCTACACCCCGAGCGTCGTCGGCCGCTCGCTCGGCCTCGGCAACCAGGCGCGCGCCGGCGGCGGCGCCCAGTCGGTCAGGAGTGCCGGCGGGAGCGTGTACGAGGGCAGCGAGGACGGGCGCAGCGTGACGAGCGGCGCGAGTGCGAGCGGCAGCGTCCGCACCTTCATGTCGGCACCGGGCGGCGGCGCCGGCGAGCGGCGCACCAAGAAGAAGGGCTCGTCGTCGCGCGACGCCTCGGAGAGCGCCGCTGCCCCGGCGCCGAGCGGGTACGACCGCGCCTCGAGGAGTCGCAGCCTGTCCAACTCGTCGTCGACGACGGCGCTCGAGTCGCGCAGGAGCAGCCGCTTCGACACGGCGCCGCCGGTCCCCAAGTCGCACTCGTCCCGCCTCGGCTCGAACGGCGGCGCCGACCAGCCGAGCCGCAGGTACTCGTCGGCCGTCTCGTCGTCCTCGTCGACCTCGCCTCCTCTGCGCCCGTCCTTCCCGACCTCGCCTACCCTCTCGAGCGGCTCGTCCCCGTCGCGCTCCAAGTCGCCGAGGAGCCACCTGTCGTCGGGCGCCACCACGCCGTCGCTCACGTCGTCGTCGTCGTCGGCCCTCTCGTCCGAGCCGAGGACGCCCATCTACGCGGTTGCCGACCCGTACCTGCCCGTGCTCACGCTCGAGGGCGACAAGCCTCGCAAGGTCAAGAAGTCGCGCTCGTCCAAGCTCGTGCCGCTCGAGACCGTCCAGCCGGTCGAGCCGGTCGTCGAGGTCGAGACGCCCGTGCAGGAGGTCCGCGCACCTGCAGCCTACCCGAGCGAGGTCCGTCCCTTTCATTTTCTCGGTCCCCCTCCCACGTCCATGAGCTGACGGCCTCGCCTTTTCGCAGCAGAAGCCGACCTCGGACGACGCGACGACCTTGCCCGTTCCAGTGCCCGGCCGCTTCTACTCGGTCGACGAGATCTTTGGCGCCGCGCCAGCCGGCGACGTCGACGACTCGTCCGCCAAGGCCGCTCCCCACGAGGACAAGCCTCCGCAGCAGGACGCGGACCTCCCCGTCCCGTCGCCCTTCCTCGCCGCCGATCCTCTGCCGTCGCCCTTCCTCGAGGCGGCGCCTCCCCTCGCGCCGCTCAAGCCCGACGCCGACGAGACCGTCGACGACACGACCGCCGCACCGGGTGTCCCGCGCCTTAAGCTCACCCGCACCGAGTCGGAGCAGAGCCGGATCGGCGTTCGGGGCAGCGTCGAGCTCGAGGTCGACGAGGGCGACAAGGGCGACTCGCCGGCGCGCGAGAAAGCCGTCCGCCGCAGCATGGACGAGGTCGAGGAGGAGGACGAGGACGAGGACGAGGACGAGGCGAGCGAGGACGAGACCGGCTCGAGCGAGTACGACGAGGACGAGGCGCCGACGCCCGAGGAGCCGGCGCCGCCCGCCAGGGCGCCTCGCGTCTCGGCCTCGCCGGCCCCAGCGCCCGCACCTGCGCCACCTGTCCTCGCCCGTTTCGTCAAGGACAAGCGCGCACGCTCGGGCCGTCCGACGCAGGAGCCCGTCGTCTCGAGGGCGCCCAACCTCCAGCCCGTGTACGAGGTCGTCAAGTCGTCCAAGCCGTCTCGCTCGTACGCCCCGTCGTCCGTCTCGTCGTTCGACGCCCAGCCTCGCTCGTCGTCGCCGGCCAACTCGGACCTGTCGGCCTCGTCGAGCGGCTCGTACGCCTACGGCGCGTCGACCGACGTTCCCGACTGGCTCGACCGCATCCGCACCCTCGGCGAGCCGATCCAGCCTCTCATCACGAGCCAGGGTCCGCAGCCCAAGCGCCAGCTCAACCCGCCGCCGCACTGGACCGTGCAGCAGTTGCGCGCGGGCGGCGGGTCCGGCAGCAGCGTCAGCAGCAACGGCAGCAGCAACGGCGGCCGGCCGAGCATGCCCCGCCCTCGCAGCGTCAAGAGCCTGCGCTCGCGCGCCAAGGTCCTCGAGGGCCTGCCCGAGGAGGCCGAGGCTGAGGCCGAGGCGGTCGCGGCCGACGAGTTCGACCGCCGCTCGGTCCTGTCGACCACGGCCACGCTGTCGGCGTCGCCAGCCTGGCTCCGCAAGGACGGCCTGTCGCCGGCGGGCTCGATCCGCACCTCGTCGTCGAGCGCCAACGGCCTGTCGCGCACCTCGTCGCTCGCCGACCGCTCGTCGAGCGACGTCCCGGCGTCGCACCGCCGCGCGCGCTCGATGGACATGGAGCGGCCTCGCATGCAGGCGCTGTCGCCGCTGAGCCGCTCCACGTCGACGTCGACGTCGGCGAGCCGCCCGGCTTCGACCAAGACGTCGTCCTCGTACGACTTCGAGTCGATCGCGGCGTCCGGGCCCAAGCCCAAGGGCTTGGCCAAGTTCCTCCAGCCGCCGCTCGCGTCGTCCAAGGCCGTTCGGGAGCCGGCGCCGGTCGTCGTCCGCAACCCTCGGACCTCGTCCCTGCGCGCCTCGTCGCTGTACGAGCCGTCCTCGTCCCGACCCTCGTCCCTGTTCGACGCGTCGCCGGCGCCAAGGCGCTCGCTCGAGGACGAGAGCGACGACGGCCGGTCCGTGTCGGGCCTGTCGATGATCTCGGTCATGAGCGCGCCGCAGCTCACGCCGGTCCGACCGCCCAAGAACCCGGCCCGCCGCCTGAGCAGCAGCTCGTTGATCCGCCCGGCCGTTCCCTTCCCCGCCGAGTCGCTCATGCAGCCGCCGTCGCGCACCCAGTCGCCGGCCGGGTCGATCCGGTCCGACTTTGAGCGGTCGGCGCCGTCGTTCGCCTCGTTCGACCAGCGCACGCCCCGCCTGTCAGCGTCGTTCTCGGTCGTCGAGCGGCCCATCATGCAGCGTCCCGTCGTCGCTCCTCCGCCACCGGCACCGCCCATCACGACCGCCCCGCCGGCCGAGTCGACCGTCGCCCCGTCCGACCTCACGCGCTCGACCTCGCTCGCGTCCCGCGCCCGACCCGTCTCGAGCTACCTCCCGCCGAGCGCAACGAGCTCGACCCCGACCTCGCTCGCCATTGCGCGCCGCTTTGACGGCAAGCAGCAGAAGACGTCGCGCCGCTTTGGCCTCTTCCGCCGGTCGACCGACGGCGACAGCGGCAGCAAGCGCCGCTTCGAGCCGACGCTCGATCTCACGTACGACACGCTCGACGCCAACTTTATGCGCAAGCGCATCCGCAGCGACGAGCTCGTCGTCGAGGTCATCGCCGCGAGCGTCGACCGGTGGGACCGCGAGCGCGTCTTCCAGCTCGCGAGGGGCACCAACGGCGTCGGCTTCGTGCCGGGTCGTGCCGTCGTCGGCAAGGTCCTCGAGATCGGCGCCGAGGTGCGCAAGGTCAAGAAGGGCGAGCTCGTGTGGGGCCTGAGCCCGCTTCGCAAGGTGCGTCTCCCTCTCAGCCTTTCCCTTCCCTCCTGTCCCGCCTGCCGAGCGGCTCGACTGACTCTCTTTGTCCTCGACTCTCGCAGTCTGGCGGCCTCGCGTCGCTCGTCATCCTCTCGCGCGACCACGTCGCCGCCGCGCCCGCCTCGCTCTCGCCCGAGATCTCGGCAGCCCTCCCCTCGGCCGCCACCTCGGCCATGCTCATCATGCAGTCGCTGTGCGACTCGCTCCCCAAAGGGTCCAAGGTCCTCGTCCTCAACGCGCACACCGGCGTCGGCTACCTCTGCCTCCAGCTCGCGCACCACTACCGCCCGGGCGTCGCCGGATCCCGCGACCTGTGGATGGTCGCCCAGTGCTCGATGAGCGTCTCGGACGGCGAGACGACCCTGCGCGAGGCGGGCGCGACGGACGTCCTGCGCGAGGAGCCGCTCGCGGCCATCAACGGGCTCCACGAGGGCTCGTTCGACGTCGTCATCGACACGATGGGCGGTCGCAGGCGTGCGTCCTCTCTTTCTCTCTCTCTCTCTCTCTATCCGGCCTTGTGAGTACCGGACTGACAATCTCCTCCTCTTCCCTTGCCTCTCTCGCCCGCCCTCTGTCGCCCTCGCAGTCTACGACGCCTCGCGCCGCATCCTGCACAACTCGGGCCGGTTCATCACGACGGTCGGCGACGAGCTCGGCGAGTCGGACTACAACGCGTCGCTGCGCTCGCTTCGTCGCGCGTTCGTTCGCAAGGACAAGAAGCAGATCTCGTACTGGCGGGTCGACGCCGATGGCGACAGCCGCGAGGCCGTCCGCGACACGCTCGACAAGGTGCGCGACGTCGTCGATGCCGGCGCGCTCAAGCCTCGGGTCGAGAGTGTCCTGCCCATGAGCGAGGCGAGGAGGACGTTCGACGAGCGCGAGGCAGAGCTCGAGGGCGTCGTCGTGCGCGTGCGCGAGGTCTGAGGAGGCGGCCGAGACTCTACTTTACCCACCCTAATCCGTGACTTCTGTCGCGCGCATCCTCGTCCATAGCTTGTCGTACAACACCCGTTCGTCCCCCTCGTCCTTCCTTCTCCCTGTTTGTATCGCTCGGCAACGCGCACTCGATTTATCTCTTTCTCTCGAGGAAGCAGAGTGCAGCGCGTGAGAGCGGCCGCTCGTCTCGCGAGAGGGAGAGCAACGTCGAGGGCCGAGCGGGCGAGCGAGAAGATGAAGCGATGCGATTGGCCGCAGTCGACTTGGGCGCGAGACTCAGCTCGTCCCCGCGACGGCCACGACCCGCTCCTCCCACGCTCTCGCGCTCGCTCCGAGTGCACTGCTGCACCGTGCGCCACCATGGGCTTCACCCGCACCCGCCACAACGAGAAGGGCCGCGCCATCAAGCGCGAGTCCGGCAAGCGCAAGCGCGTCGACCCGGACCAAGTCGACGACGACAGCAACGCCGACATCATCGACCAGGAGGTCCGCAAGAAGCGCAGGGCAGAGGTGCACCCCGTCTCTCTCCCTCGCCGTGCCCGCCGCGACGCCGGGCGACAGCGCCCCCTCCCTCGAGCTTCAACTCGCTCACCTCCTTGTTCATCCCGCCGCCGCAGCTGCTCGCCACCAAGCCGACCGAGGCAGAGCCCAAGATGTCGGCCAAGAAGCGCAAGCGTCTCGACGCCTTCATCGACCGCAAGCTCAAGAAGGAGGAGCGCAAGGACCTCATCGCCTCGCTCGCGTACGTCGCCTCGCTCTCCTCTCCCTTCCGCCTCTCTCCACGCGCACCAGAGCTGACTTCTCGTTCGATACAGCAAGACGCAGACGCAGAACCTCCAGTTCGCCTCGTCGTCCGCCCTCGGCTCCAAGCAGTTCCAGTCGCAGGCCTCGAAGCTCGAGCACGCCGCTGCGCTCGAGGAGAGCCGGCGCGGTCGTGCACGCAAGATCCTCGACCGCGCCAACGCCGGCGCGCAGCACCTGAGCGACGAGGACGCCGACGAGGCGGACGCCGACGTCGACATGCTGTCCGGCGACGACGAGCCACCGCTCGAGCGCGAGTTCGTCAAGCCGCAGCAGGCCCTCGCGCTCTCGACGTCCGCGCCACCGTCGGCCAAGAAGAACACGCAGCCGTTCAACCCGTCGGGCTCGCTCGGCGTCGTTGTCCAGTCGGCGGCATCGGCCGCACCTGTCGCGTCAACCTCGACCGCCCCCTCGACTTCCCGCGCCGTCCCTCCTCTATCCGCTCCGCCCGCCGTCGGCAGCGCTCTCGCCGCAGGCGCCACCGTCACCGTCGTCAAGCGCGCGCCCAAGCAGCGCGGCCGCATGCGCGAGCTCATCGGCGCTGTCGGCAAGGGCAAGGGCAAGGGCAAGGCGAAAGCCGAGCCCGAGCCAGAGGCGGACAGCAGCGAGTTTGACAGCTCGGAGGAAGGGAGCGACGAGGGCGAGGAGGGGGAGGGGGAGGAGGACGAGTGGAAGGGCATCGAGGGCGAGCAGCAGGGCGACGTCGAGGAGGGCGGCTCGGGTTCGAGCGAGGGAGGCTCAGTCGGCGACGGCGGGTCGCGGGACGGGGGCAGCGGGTCGGACGACGCAGACGAGGACGAGGAGGCGGGCGGGACCAAGGCGCCGCCGCGAGAGCGCGGCGCGTTTCGCGCATGGGCCGACGAGCAGGTCCGCAAGGCGGCGGGCGAGGACGCGGCGGCGCCGAGGCCTGTCGACGCCGACGACGGTACCTACACGCCGCTCCTGCCGGCCGGCTCGGGCTTCAAGAACAAGGTCGACCCGAGCGGCATCACCGGCCCTCTCGGCGCCGTCCTGCCCAAGGAGGAGCTGCCGACGCTCCCGCCGCAGAAGACGGTTCACGTCGCCGTCACGCGCACGCCCGAGATCGAGGCGTCCAGGGCCGAGCTCCCCGTCGTCAAGGAGGAGGACCGCGTCATGCAGGCGATCCTCGGCAACCCGGTCGTCGTCCTGTGCGGCGAGACGGGTTCGGGCAAGACGACCCAGGTCGGCCAGTTCTTGTGGGAGGCCGGCTTTGGCGATGCTTCGAGCGGTGCGTCCCTGCTCCCCCTGTCTCTCTGGACGTCCGGCGCCGTCGACTGACCTCGGTCGACCCTCGCAGACAACCCGGGCATGGTCGCCATCACGCAGCCTCGCCGTGTCGCCGCCCTCTCGACCTCGGCCCGTGTTCGCAACGAGCTCGGTCTCGCCGCCGACTCGTCGCTCGTCGCGCACCGCATCCGTTACTCGACGACCGCCTCGCCCGACACCAAGCTCGTCTTCATGACGGACGGCGTCCTCTTACGCGAGCTCGCGGCCGACTTCCTCCTGACCAAGTACAGCGTCGTCGTCGTCGACGAGGCGCACGAGCGCGGTGTCAACACGGACGTGCTCATCGGCGTGCTCAGCCGGGTCGCCAAGCTGAGGGAGAAGCAGTGGCGCGAGGGTCGTGAGGGGGCCAAGGTGCGCCCGCCTGTTCCTCCTCCTCCTCTTCCTCTCTCGTTCTCCTCACTGACTCGCTCTCTGCGCAGCCTCTGCGCCTCGTCATCATGTCGGCGACCCTGCGCGTGTCCGACTTTGCCGAGAACCCGACCCTGTTCTCGACCCCGCCACCCGTCCTGCACATCTCGGCCCGCCAGCACCCGGTCACGGTCCATTTCGCTCGGCGCACCCAGCACGACTACCTCGCCCAGGCGTACAAGAAGGTCGCCCGCATCCACGCCCGGCTCCCGCCCGGCGGCGTCCTCGTCTTCTGCACCGGCCAGAACGAGATCGTCTCGCTGTGCAAGCGCCTCGAGAAGAAGTTCGGCGCCAAGGCGATCGCGGCGCGCAAGGAGCGCGTCAAGCGGGCGGCGGCGATGCGCAACGGGCGCGACGCGGGGGCGAGCCGGGAGGACGAGCAGGCCGAGGAGGCCGAGGTCGACGCCAAGTTGAGGGGCAAGGTCGAGGTGAGCGACGACTTGGAGGCCGAGGACGTCGAGCTCGGTGCGGACAAGGACCTCGCGGCGGACGTGGACGATGGCGTGTACGAGGACGACGAGGAGGGGCTCGAGTCGGACGAGGACATGGACGACGAGGCGTTCCAGGGTCTCGACATGGAGGAGGACGTCGACGGTGCGTCCCTTCTCTCTCTCTCTCTATCGACCCTCTCTCTATCGTCCCTCTCTCGACGACTCGCTCACGCTCCTCGCGCCACAGAGCCGCTGCACGTCCTGCCGCTGTATTCGCTCCTCGCGACCGAGCGGCAGATGCAGGTCTTCGCCGAGCCGCCTGCGGGCCACCGCCTCGTCGTCGTCGCGACCAACGTCGCCGAGACGGCCATCACGATCCCCAACATCAAGTACGTCGTCGACACCGGTCGCGCCAAGGAGGTGAGCTCCCTCTCCCTCTCCGTCCGTCTCTCTCTTCGTGCTGCGGCCGCCGAACTGACCCTGGCCCTCCCCTTCTACAGCGCAAGTTTGACCACGCGAGCGGCATTCAGTCGTTCGAGGTCGACTGGATCAGCAAGGCGTCGGCGGCGCAGCGTGCCGGTCGAGCCGGTCGCACCGGTCCCGGCCACTGCTACCGCCTGTACTCGTCGGCCGTCTTCGAGCAGCACTTCGACCAGTTCGCCAAGCCCGAGATCCTGCGCATGCCGATCGAGGGCATCGTCCTCACGATGAAGGGCATGAACATCGACGCCGTCGCCAACTTTCCCTTCCCGACGCCTCCCGACCGCGACGCCCTGCGCCGGGCCGAGAAGACGCTCGTCAACCTGGGCGCGCTCGAGGCGTCCGAGGCGACGTCGAGGGTCGGCGGCAAGATCACGCCGCTCGGCCAGAGCATGGCGCTCTTCCCGCTCTCGCCTCGGTTCGCCAAGATGATCGTCGCCGGCCAGCAGCATGGTTGCCTGCCCTACGTCGTCGCCATCGTGTGCGCCCTGTCGGTCGGCGACCCGTTCATCCGCGAGGCCAACCTCGGCGACGACGACGAGGTCGAGCCCGACGCCGACAAGCCGCTCTCGCGCGCCGAGATCCAGCACATCCGGGACCCCGAGATCCGCGCCAAGGAGGAGCGCAAGGCGTTGCGCAAGACGTTCTACCAGGTCCAGCAGCGTCACGCTGCGCTCGGCAAGGGCTCGAGCGACGTCTTCAAGTTCCTGAGCGCGGTCGGCGCGTACGAGTACGCCGGCGCGAGCGACGCTTTCTGCGACTCAAACTTCCTTCGCATCAAGGTACGCTCTCTCTCTCTCTCTCCCTCCATCCCTCTCGTCGTGCCCGCGATTCGGCGTCACTGACTAGCCTCGTCTCGACCCACAGGCCATGCAGGAGATTCACAAGCTGCGGCAGCAGATCAGCCGCATCGTGCAGATGACGTTCCCGGGCGTCGACGCCGGCTTCGTCCCCAAGCTTGCGCCGCCGAACGAGACGCAGGTGCGCTCGAACCCCCTCTGCCTTCGTCCTCGATCTCGTCGCCTGACCTTCGTCCCTTTTCCGACAGCTCAAGGTCCTGCGTCAGCTCCTCACGGCCGCCTTCATCGACCAGGTCGCCATCCGCAAGGACCTCGTCGACAAGACGAGCAACTTGTCGTTCGCCAAGGTCGCCTCGACTCGCGGCGTCGCCTACCGAGCGTTCGGCATCGACGAGGACCTGTTCATACACCCGTCGTCCAACCTGTTCCACAGCTCGCCACCCGAGTTCATCGTCTTCAACGAGTTGCACCGCACGCACAAGGTCTGGCTCAAGAGTGCGTCCCCTTCTCTCCCTGCGCTCGAGCCCCGTCTTGTTCCTGACGACGCCTTTCCTCGTCCACAGCCATCACCAAGGTGAACCCGGCCTGGCTCCCCGTCCTCGGTCGGCCCATGTGCACCTTCAGCAAGCCCGTCGAGACGCCCGCACAAGCCCTCGCCGCCAAGGCCGCCTCGAACGCGTCGGCCGGGACCGACTCGCGCACCATCATCGTCGTTCCTCGGTTCGGCCCCGGCGTCGGCATCGAGCTCAAGCCCGTCCAGATGACGCAAAAGCTCGTCGGAGGGCGGTGGGTCTTGCAGTAGAAGGCGAGGGCTGGTCCTCGTCCCTGTTGTAAACATGGCCGCCTCCTCTTCTTTCTCTTTAACCTCTCGGCACTACTGCTCGGCGGCCACGAGACTCAAAGCCTCCTCTTTCTCCTTCTCTCGCACAGACGCTGTCGCTCTCGCAGTCGGACTGCCGTGGAGCTCGCTGCGACGGCTTGCTGCGCCCGGCACGACGACCTCGGCTCGGAGACGGCGCCGCCTCGCTTCTGCGCAACGCGCACGCATGTCCTGCGAGGCTCTCGAGGCTGCGAACGACGGCTGCGGCCCGTGCACGCTGCGAGAGCTCGTCATGAGTCGCTCGTCCTGGACCCGCAGCACTGACTCGCCACCTTTCGCAGCTCGCCAAGCCCAATCACTCGCAGGCGTACGAGGCGATAAAGGCGACGGTCTCGTCTTCCTCTTCTCTCCCTACCTCTCGACACCTCCAGCATGTCGACTCTCGACATCAAGCTCTCGAACGTCGCGACGGGCGAGACTCGCATCGTTGCCCTGCCGACGCAGCCAATCCCGTCCTGGGCCGACCTCGTGCAGCGTGTACAGCAGCGCTTCGCCCTCGACCAGCCGCCGATCAACGTCACCTACGTCGACGACGACGGCGACGAGATCACGGTCTCGTCCGACGACGAGGTGCGCGAGCTCTGGCTCGGCAGCGTCGCCCAGCCGAGCCTGTCGCTCGCGTTCAGCGTCGCTCGTCCTGTCGTCGACGATCAGCGCGAGTCCGTGCGCGACGTGCAGATGGCGCTGCTCGAATCGGTCCGTGTCGCGCTCGAGCAGGACGCGTCGCTCGCCCACGACCTTCGCGACGTCCTTCACGACGGGTTCGATGCGCCGTACCGCCCTCGCCATCACGACCACCACCACCACGGCCAAGCGTATTCTCGCTTCGCCGTCGCACGCGGCGGTGGCGGTCGACGCGGCGGATGCCCGGGCCCCGGCGGGGCCGGCAATCGCCGCCACGAGCGCTGGGAGATGCGCTCGGGCTCGTCATTGAGCAGCAGCAGCGACAGTGAGTCAGAGGCAGATCAAGCGGGAGCAGAGAGGGGAAGGTGCCGCGACGGCGGCCGCAAGGGCGACAAGCACAGCAGGCGTGCGTCCTCGTTCCTTCTCTCATCCTCGACCTCGACCCTTCTCCTGACCTTCGCGCCCACAGACGGTCGTTCTCCTCCTCGCCACCACTTCCCCGGCCCGTCACCGCCGCCTCCTCCTCGCCATGGCCACCACGGGCGGCACGGCCTGCCACCTCGTCCTTCCGGTCCGCCGCACGGACCTCCTCCGCCATTCGCCCTCGGCTTCTTCGGCCCGCCGCCTCCTCCTCCTCCTCCGCCTTTCCCCTCTCGCGGTGGGCGTCACGGCTACAGGTACGGGCCGCCGCCGTTCCACCCGCCTCCTCCGCCTCACGGCTTCCACCCTGTCGCTGCCGATTCTTTCGGCAACGGCGGCTCGCACCCGACGCCGCCGTGGCACGCTCTCGCCGACTTCTTCGCCTCTCCTTTTTACGACGGGCGCCACTAGACCCGTGTCACGTCGTCGTCCACGCCGTTCCGCTCAATTGCGATTTCCCTTTTCCTCTCGTCCGCTCTTGTAGACTCTGCTGTACTCTCTTTGAACGACTAGCTTGCGGCGAGAGAGCGAGAGAGCGAGAGAGATAGAGAGAGATAGAGAGAGAGGGCGAGTAGGAAGGCGGGCAGGGCGGAAACGGCTCTCGTGCTCAACTTGAGAAGGTCGCTGAGAAGACAGACTATTGGCGATGGCGAACGCCCTGCACGACACCGCTCTACACACAGATAGACAGGAGAGAGTCCGACGTGAGAGTCGGCGAGACGCGGCGAGGAGGGAGGGAAGGCACAAAATGGGAGCGGGACCAAGCGAGGGAGGGAGGGAAGAAGCGCACTCAGCGCAGGCGACGGCGGCCGTCGACGAGTCCGAGTGTCTTCTTGGGCCCTCTGCGAAAGGAAGAACGAGAGGAAAATGAGATGCGGGCCCGCAAGGATGCGAGAGAAAGAGAGAGAGAGAAGGGACGCACTGCCAAAGGGCGAAACCGAGCGCCATGCCGAGCACGACGAGGAACTGGATCCAGGTGACGAGCCTGACGAGGTGCTGGACAGCCGAGTCGGTCATCATGGTGGCGAGCATGCGCGGGTGGTACCGCGACCGCAACGCGACCGGGTAGTAGTCGGCCGTGCGCGTGAGCGGGTGGTCGAGCTCGTCGTACGCCGACGAGATGTCCGACTCGTCGGACGACGGGACGTCGTCGTTGCGGTCGCGTCGATAGTCGTCCGTGTCGGCGTGAGCGAGGTGGACGACCTCGAGGCCGGTGCGGGTCGACGCTTCGCGGCCGAGCCGACGCAGGGCGAGACGGCGCCGCGTCTGCGACGCCGACTGCCTCGCACCGTCGTCGCGCGCCTCGTGCTCGCTCTGGTGCCCCACTGCCGAAACCGAGGCGGCCCTGCCCTTGCCCCTGCCCTTGCCCTTGGCCCGACCCTCGCTCGGCTTGCCTCCTTTGGCCCGCCGCGAGCGCACGCCCGGCTCGTCCCACAGCCCGGCGTCGCCGAGGCGTCGCCGCTCACCGCGGCGCGAAGAAGAGGACGCCGCGAGGTAGTCGTCGTCTGCCCATGCCGGAACGAGCGCGTCGGCGGCCTGCTCGAGCTTGGCGTACGTCTCGGCCTCGGGCGGGCCCGCCCAGCGCAAGCTGCCCGCCGGGAGCAGGTCGTCGGCCGTCGTGACGGGCACGTCGCTCGAGGGAGGGCCGTAAAGGTCGGCGAGGTGGCGGGAGCGACGAGCGCGCGGGCGGCCCGAGCGGACGACGACCGACGACAACGAGTCGACGTCGCGCGCGAACGACTCGTGGTGACGCTCTGGCTCAAAGTCGTCTCCGAGCTCGTGCTCGAGCGTGCGCTTCGAGAAGACGGGGCTCGTGTCGGGCGACGCCGAGTCGCGGTCCGAGGTCGAGCCCGAGAACAGGCCCGACGAGAACGACGTGGGCGTGTTGGCCGTCTGCGTGAGGAGGCGCGAACGACGAGTGATGCGATGACCTTGGACAGGGCGAGCGGCCCGACGAGGGTTGTCGGTGTCGGCGTCGGCGTCGTCGTCCGAGTGCCACGTGATGGCGCCCTTTGGACCGTCTGCGTGGGTGCGGCTGTCAGTGACGGCTTCTCCCGCACGTCGACAGGAGTCATGAGAAAGGGGACGTACCCCACTCGAGTCGCCCGACAGCGTTGCCCTCGACGAGCTCGTCGCACCGCTCCTTCCACTCGTCGACCTCCTCCTGCGCCATGGCGAGCCGGTGCTCCATCTGCTCGCGCTCGAGCGCGATGTCGAGGTTGGTCTTCTCGAGCTCGTCAATCTTGTGAATGAGCTGATCGACGAGCTCGTCGGCCTGGCGCTCGAGCGACGGGTCGAGCTGCATCGGGAGGGGGAGCGGCGCGAGCGACGACGTCGAGACGGAGCGCACGACGGTCTCGCGGCGTGTCGGTAGGGCGAACGAGGTGCCGAGGAAGTCGTCGTTGTCGTCGATGGCGAGGAAAGGGAACGTCGTTGCGGGTGGCGAGGTCGGCTGGTGGGCGAAGATGGCGTTCGAGGCGAGCGTCTTGCCGAGCAGCGCCGGCGGACCAAAGTTGCGGGCGGGCGACGAGTTGTCCTGGTCGATCTCGGCGTCGTCACCGAGCGAGTCGGGGCGAGGGGTCGGCCGCACCCGCCAGTCGAACGCCGACGCCTCGTCGTACTGGTTGAGCGCGAGCGGCGTGACGGCCGGCTTCCTCGGCGTCGGGCCGACCCTCGTCGAGCGTGCGAGCTCGTTCTCGCGCTCCTTGACGAGCTCGACCTCGGTCTCGAGGAGCGCGTTGCGCTGCTCGGCGCGCTCGAGGTCCTCGCGCACGGCCTGCAGCTCGCGCTCGAGCTTGCGCAGGCGCTTGCGGCCCTCGCGCTCGGTCTCCTCGACGCCGGCGTGCAGGTCGCTCAGCTGCAGCGTCAGGGCGTAGTTGACCTGGCTGAGCGACGCGAGGTCGTGGGCGGCCGCGCCCGGCGACAGGAGCGCCTTGTTGCCGTTGATCGGCGAGCGGCCCTGCCCTGCGGGCGCACCTCGGCGAGTCGACGTAGGCGACACCTCGGGCGTGACGGACGATGCGGCGCGGAAGCGGAAGGTGGCGCTCGGGCTGATGTCGGACGAGGCGTCGCGCATGCGGTAGCTGGCGGCGCTCGACAGGCGGTCGCGGCGCACAGCCATCGGCGTCGACGTCGCCTCGCCGGGCGTACTGGCAGGCGGCGGCAGGCCGAGCGAGGTGCGCCACGACTGGGGCCGGCGCTTGCCGTCGGCGACAGGGCTTGAGGTGGCGGCCGAGATGGTCGACTTGCGCGACGACCGCTGCGGGCTTGCGCGGACCGAGGTGGCCGTCGTGCGACCGGAGAGCGACTCGTGGCGCTGTCGGAGCGAGTTGAACTCGTTGAGGAGCTCTGCAGTGAAGGGAAAGGACGGGGTCAATTCGTGATACAGCTTGCGCGACGCGCAAGGCGACAACTCACCCTCGCCGGCCGCCGTAAACGTCGAGAGCTCTGCGTGCGAGTACGTGGAAGAGTCAGGACGTGCTCGATCGGCGCAAGAGGGGAGAGAGGCGGGCGGGCGCACCTTGCTCCTTGTCGCGGATGATGCGGTCGGCCTCCTGGAGCATGCGCGCGAGTTCTTCTCGGCTGAGCCCTCGCAGCGCGTCGATGTCGATGGTCGTGTCGCCCTCGTCGATGCCGAGGCCCGTCGAGTCGCCGAGCGCGAGGTCGAGCTGCGGAGCAGTCGCGGGCGGAGCGAGGGAGGCGGCGGCGGCGAACGGGTCGTCGACGGCGGCGGCCGGGAAGGGTACAGGCAAGATGGACGGGTTGCTGAGTTTGCTGACGAGGGCATGTGAGTGGACGGGCGTGCTCGGCGGCGAGGAGGAAGGACCCTCGAGCTCATCCAACGTCGCCTCGCCGCGCGCCTCGCTCCAGCTGCTGGCGAGCGACGGCCGCGCCTGGTGGGCGGGACGGGGATGTGCCGAGCTGCTGGTGGAGCCGAGGGACACACGGTGCCCGCTCGCGCGGCCCCACGAGTCGTCGTCGCGGCCCGCGCCGGCGTCGATGGTCGACGACTCGAGCTGGGAGCGGCGGCGGCGAGGCGTGGACGGGGTCGGGAGGGCGGTGAAGGTGCTCTTCGAGGTAGTGCGGCGGGCTGGCGGGCGTGGCCGCGCCGATAGCGGTGGCTGCATGCCGCGTCGCGCTGTCGTGGGTCGAGGCGAGGCGAGGAGGGGCGAGGGGGACGAGGTGCGGGCGGTGCCGAGGGTGTGCAGGGAGCGTGCTGGGCGCTGCGCTGCGGTGGCGCGCTGCTCGCTCGGCGGCAGCTCGATGCAGATAAGAGCGAACGAGAGGACGAGAACAAGAGCCTTTCCCTCCTCTCCTCGCCAAGTCGCGCCTGGCGCACGTGAAAGCGCCGCAAACACGGCCGATCTCGACAGCGCTCGCGTCGACCGACTCGTTCACTGCACCTAGAGAAATCACCGCATCTACAGATCGTCTGGCTCGAAGGCGGGAAGGGAGGGGGAGGGCGGTCGAGGGAAGGGACGGGGCGACAAGCTCGAGGGAGGCGAGTGAGGGTGCGGGCTATTCTATAAGTCTAATGCCTAAGGGGGTACAGAGAGGGTACAGGGACGGCGCGAACTAAGGCTCGACGGCCTGCTCGTAGCCCTTGCGGACCTCGATGCCGACCTTGCGCCGCCGCTGCGCGTCGAGCCACTGCATCGTCTGCCGGTAACTCCTCGGCAGGACGTGGCGCTGCAGCGGTCGGTCGCTCGAGAACGTCCAGTGGAACACGTTGGTGAGCCGGCGCTCGCCGGTGTACAGGTCACACGTCGCAGCTGTGGACCGGCACGAGGAACAAGGTCAGTCTCTCGACCTCGGCTGGGCGTGCCCGCGATACACGGACAGTGGGGCAGGGCTCGAGAGAGAAGGCGAGAGAGAGGAGGAGAGGAGAGACAGAGAGAGCCGGACGCACCCTCGACCGAGACGTGGAAGGAACGGTGCTCGCCTCGCATGGGCGAGAACGTCACCTTCGAGTCGAGCAGCAGCAGCGAGCCGATCTCGACAGGTTGAGCGAATTGCAGCTCGCTGTGGTGGCGCAAGTAGAAAGGGGTCAGTTGGCCGCTGTGACTCGGGGGGAAGAGAAGGAGAAGGAGGACGAGCAGGACGCACTCGAGCGAGACGAAGGTGACGGCCGAGCGGGCAAAGAGACACGCCGTGCTGTAGGCCGTCTCGTACGCGATGCGCATGAGGTACCTGTCGGAAAGGTGCGCGAGGGAGGAGGGGAGCCGGCGAGAGAAGGAGCGCGCGAAGGAGAGGAAGAAGGGCCGGTCGTCAGGACGACGGTTCGGGCGCGGGCGAAGGAGAGAGAGGGAGAGGACGGTGGACGCACCCGCCAAAGACCTTGTTGTGCACGTTGCGCTCCTGCGGGTGCATCAGGGTCGCCGAGTTGACTCGCGTGTCGGCCATCCAGACGATCGAGTTCGGGGTCGACGATTTGCGGTCTGTGAGGGCTTGAGAATCAGTTCCGCGACCTCGGAAGGACACAAGAATCCGAGAGCGAGAGAGAAGGTGGGACGTACCGTAGATGTCCGAGTTGGTGAGGAAGAGCTCGTGCATCATGGCGGCCTCGTCGGCCGTCGGCGGCGTCTTGGTCAAGCTCTGCTGGCTGCGCTTGGTCTTGCCCTCGCGCATCTCCTTGCCCATCTGCCACACGGCGCGCTCCTCGGGTCCACGCACGTCGAGCTCGGGCACGGGGAACTTGCCGCCTTGCGCCGACCGACAGGCCATGGCGAACCGCCCGAGGAGGATCGTCTCGCTGTCATTGTCCGTCGTCGGGACCGTCGACATGCGGACAAAGACCTCGAGCGACGACGAGGTGGCGTACGAGACGTGCGCCGAGAGGCGGATGTCGGGCACCGAGCCGTCGGGGTTGGCCACGGGCCGCAGAACGTCCATGCGGTCGACGGCCGCGGTGACGAGGAAGAAGACGCCCGACGCGTCGCTGATCTCGGCGCCGTCGGGCAGAACGTAGCGGTAGGCGGCCGCACCGGCGAGCGAGTCGAAGTCTGGAGGGACGAGGTGCAGGTCAGTGACGGCTCGACGCGCCGAGGGAGAGGAAGAAAGGGACGCACCCTCCATGAGTCGACCCATGCGGACCTTGGACAGGCCGCCGACGTACTGCTCGCGCAAGCCCTCGTCGTGCGAGAACGGCAGGTCCATCTGGACGTACGAGTCGGCCATGCGCCTCGTCGCCGGGAGCTCCTTGCTGTCGCGCGCGGCCGGCGGGACGGGCGGGCCCTGCCCTCGCTCGTAGACGCCAACGCCTCGCAGGCGGGCCGGGACGGTGCCGATCTTGTTGGCCTCGCGCGAGAGCTTCTCGCCGAGGCGCATGAGGCCCTCGAGCCGGGAGATGGACTCGACATCCGGCACGGGGTGGTCGGTGAGGAGGGTGGACGGGTTGGCGTGCTCGTTGCGGTGCTCGCTCGAGGCGATCTTGGACCGCGACGAGGACGACAGGAGGCGGCGAGACGGGGCGGAGGTTGATGACGGCGACGAGCAGGTGCAGGGAGCGAGGGCGAGCGGTCGGGTGCTCGTCGCGCGTGCAAGCTGTCGCAAGAGCGCTGGCGTCGAGCGCAGCACAGAGCTCATGCTGGCGGGGAGCGAGGGGCGCTGAGGGTGCTCCACTCCATCTCGTCCTCCTCCTCGAGCTCACGCACGCGCTGTGTACCGACACTCTGTCGCATCTCGATCGTTCGCTGTGCGACTGGCTTGCACTGCCACCTTGTGCACCCACTCTGCGCACCCGTCCGAGTGCGGCTGGTCTCGCTTGCTCCGAGCCAAGCTCGCTCGCTCTCGCGCTTCCCCCGCACGGGTCCCTCTCGAACGCGGAGCGGCGCACACGCATACTCAGGGAGCGACAGCGAGCATGTATGTACACGCGCGAGCAGAGAGAGAGAGAGCGACCCGGGTTGCCCGCGGCCGAGAGATCTCGCTCGAGTTTCCCTTGCAGTTCCCTTCGAGCCGAGCGAGCTGGAGCACACGCAGGAGGCAAACGTCGAGCTGCCGAGCGGGGGCCGACGCAAGCCTCGCGTGCCAGACAGGAGATCGACACTGTGTCGCGCTCGAGAGTGATCCAACTTGGGTTCGACCCGTTCGCTTGGCTCTCCCCTCGCTCTCACTCCCTCTCACTCTCTCTTGCTCTCGTTCGTTCGCCTCGCACGACCCACAAGCGCGTCCGCACCGAGTACACCTACCGCCCGCGCCCTCTCGTTCGCCCCTCGACCCTCGACCCTCGCCCCCGACACTCGTTCTCCTCCTCGGAGATTCCGACGCCGCCGCCGCCGACCCGCCCAGCATGCTCGCCAGCCTCCTGTTCCTCGCGCCTCTCGCCCTCGCGTCGCCCTTGTACAAGCGCCAGAGCAACAGTGCGTCGTCGCGCTCCCTCCGCCTCAGGCACCTCCCCCGAGTCGACCGCCTTGTCGCGTCGTCGACTCTCCCACGATTTTCACTAGAGCCGGTCGTGTTGACCTCGTCGCCGTCGTCGTCGCGCAGCCTACCCTGAACCTCTGCAGCGCGGTCCTCCTCCCAGTGAGCTCCTCTCTCTCCTCGCGCTCGAGCGCACCTCCGCAAAACCGCGGGGAACGGGCCCTGACCCAGCCTCTCTCTGTCGCTCTTTCTCGCGTCGTCGTCCGCAGGGCAGCCCTGGATCGACACGTACAACGCCGCCAAGGCGGCCGGCAAGATCCCGTCGTTTGCGCCCGCTCGCCTCAACAGCGACGGCGTCCCGTTCTACTCGGGCGGCGTCGCAACCGACGACAAGGGCGTCTGCTCGTGGTCCCAGGCGCACTGCTTCGGCGACAACGACATCTACGACGCGCCCGACGGCATGTACGCCATCAACTTTGACGACGGCCCCGTGCCGGCCTCGATCCCGCTGTACAACTTCCTCGAGAAGGAGAACCAGACGGGCACGCACTTCCTCATCGGCACCAACGTCGTCGACTACCCGGACGCGTTCAAGAAGGTCCTTGACATCGGTGGCCACGTCGCCGTCCACACCTGGAGCCACCCTTACGTGCGTCGCCGTCCCTCCTTCTCCTCGTCGAATTCTCGCCTCGAGGCGGGCTCGAGCGCGCCCCGCGACTCGCGCGCCTCTCTGCGTGCCTGCACTGACGACCTCGGCTGCGCGCAGATGACGACCATGGACGACATGCAGGTCCTCGGCGAGCTCGGCTGGACCGCTCAGGCCATCTTCGACCACTCGAACGGCATCGTCCCGGCCTTCTGGCGTCCTCCGTACGGCGACGCCGACGCTCGTGTTCGCGCCATCGCCGAGGAGGTCTTTGGCCTCAAGCTCGTCGGCTGGAACCGCGAGTGCGTCCTCACTTTCGGCCCGGCCTCGCCGTTCGAGCCCGTCCTGACCATCCTCTTCCCTACTTCCCTCCCGCCCTCTCTCGCCCCCTTCCTGCACCGTCTCAGCTCGAACGACTGGTGCCTGAACGATAACCCGGGCTCGGCGTGCGCCGCCTACGGCCTGTCGGGCGCGTCAGACCTCGAGGCCGAGCTGCGTGGGTGGCAGACGGGCGCCAAGTCGCCCGGCTGCATCGGCCTCGAGCACGAGACGGGCTCGCTCATCGTCAACGCCTTCATCTCGACGTATCCGGGCATCAAGCAGCACGGCTGGGACGCGAGGTGCGTCCGCTTCTTCCTCCCCCTCCGTTCCCACTTGCCGCCGTCGTCGATCCTGACGCTCTACCCCTTTCCTCGAACCGCAGGTGCGTCCCGGACCTGTTCAACCTCGACTGGTACCAGAACGGCAAGAACAACGACGGGCCGTTCGACACGTCGTTCGTCATCGGCTCGGGCCCCGACTCGAACTCGACCTCGTCGGCCTCGTCGGCCACGAGCAGCGCGTCGTCGTCGGCCTCGACGGCGTCGGTCTCGAGCTCGGGCTCGGCGCGTGCGAGCTCGTCGGCGACCGTGTCGAGCGCCGGCGTCGCCGTCCCGAGCAAGGACGCGCAGGCGTCGACGGACAAGGACTCGGGCGCCAGCGCGCTGTCGCGCTCGTCGCTCGCCGGCAGTGTCGCCGTTGTCGGGCTCGTCGCCGTCGCCGCTCTCGCTTAAAGGGCCTGTATCTCGCCCCTCGTGTCACCTTTCCTCCTCTCTCTCCCCGTCTCTCCTTCATTCGCCCTTCCTTAGCTGTGCATAGAGGACCACCCCGTTACACTCCCTTCGTCGACGTACCTCCTGGACTCGCATATATACCCCCGTCACGCCTTTCTCTCGTCGCTTCCGCAGTGGACGTTGTCGAGCACGCCTCCTTCCCCTCCCCCTCTCCCTCTCGGGCAAAGACACTTCCCCTCTCTCCTTCCCTCCCTCGCTGGAACACTGTCTCGTGGCACGACGTGCGTTCTGTCAGGGATCGCTCGAGAGGAGAGAACGAAAGAGAGACGGGCGCGATTCAGCGAGCACGGCGTCGTCGGACGCTTTGACCGCGTCAGAAGCAGCCAGTCCGGCTCAGCTCGACGTTCGCGACGCTAAGTGAGACGAGCCCTCAACGATGGGCCCGAATCTACAGACCTACCATGGTAGTGCCCGCCCGACTCTGCGCTCACGAGGAAGTCCAGGAGGACGGACTCGATTTCTCGCTGTGCAACCTCGCTCTATCTCTACGGTGCAGCGCGGGATCGACCTATCAAGACGAATACTCGACGATGGGCGCCGAAGCGACACCTCGCCAGACCATGGCCGACGACCACACCGCGCCGTCGAGGAGGAAAAGGCTGGTGGACGCTTTGACCGCTGCACGTGATGCTCTCCCGCTTTCGTCTTTCACTCTCGGCAAGTCGACACCGTTGGCTCGGAAGATGCAGAAAGATACCGTAGCTCGATTGCGCCGCACGAGCTACTCGACTCAGTACCTGCGCGCGCCTCCGTAGCCACCTCCAGGAGGACCGCCGCCTGCAGACGCCGAGAGTGCTCAAGTCAGTACCTGCCACCGCTCGACTGAGGGAGAGGAAGAACGAAGACGCACTGCCAAAGGCCGGACGCTGCGGCTTGGGCCGAGGAGGGATGCCGAGGCGCTCGCCGGGCAAGCCGGGTCCGGGCGCACTGCCAGGGAGGATGGTCGTGCCGATGATGTCCATGATCGTCGCCGGGTTGAGGTGCGGCCCGTTGAACGACGACGCATTGGGCAGGAGCGACAGGAAGAAGACGACGGCGTCGGGAAGGATGGCGACGTCGGCGCCGCGAGGGTCGAGCATGTACGGCTGGGCGCGGTTGAGCGCCGGCGGGGCCTGCGGCGCACTGCGACGATGGTCGCCCATGCCCGAGTTCCAGCCTGGGCCGCCGGGAGGGCCGCCGGGACCGCCAGGGCCCGCCAGGTTGCTCTGCGGCTGAGGAGCAGGCGACGGCGACGGGCCGTGACGAGGACGCTTGGCGTCGCCGCCCTCGTTGGCGTCGTACCCGGCAGGCGCGGCGGCGCCGTTGTCCGGGCCGGCCGAAAGGCCGCGCTTGTTGCGCGGGCTGCGCTCCTCGGGCGAGGCCGAGCGGCCCGAGCGCGTGTCGCCCTTGAGCTGGCGGACGAAGGACGGGCCGAGGTCTTGTGCAAAGGCGTCCTCGAGGCCGAGGTGCTGGTGACGCTGCGCGAAGCGGGTCGTGGCGGGCGCTGCAGGAGAGGGAAGTCAGGGCCAAGCTCGTCCGAGGCGAGAGGAGGGACGGCGGGACGCACTGTCGGGGAATGCTTCTGCGTAGCGCTTGGCCATCTTCTGCGCCGCCAGGTGGTCGCCGTACTGGAACTCGTAGGCCGCCATGCGGTCCCAAATCGGCTTGGCCTGGTCGGGCCCGAGGAGCGAGACCGAGCGCTCGAACAGGGCGCGAGCGTCTGCAGGCAAGGACGTTGTCAGTCTGGCTCGAGGGACGGGAAAGAGGAAGAGGAGGGACGGACTGTTGGCGTTGTTCTGCTGGATGAGGAACTCGAGGTAGCGGAGGATGTAGTCGGGCTCGTTGGCGAACATCTTCAAGCCGAGCTCGAACACGTTGGTCGCCACCTTGGGCTCGCTGTTCCAGTACATTTCCATCGTGGCTGCGCGAGAGAAGAGGGTCAGTACGTCGCACGGGGAGGGAGAGGAGGGAGAGAGAGAGAAAGGGACGCACCGCTCGCCTCGACGACCTGCCACGCCATGTTGGGCGACTTCTTGGCCCGCAGGAAGATGTTGCGCGCCTGCTTGAGGCCCTGCATGCCGACGATGGTCGTCAGAGTTGGTCTGAAAGAGTGGCAGAGAGAGGGGACGCACGTCCGACCGCCTCGCGAAGCGCATCTCGGTGATCCAGACGTTGGCGACCGCCTTCTTGACCGACTCGATCTCGGGCCTGCGCCTCTCCCGGATCTCGCTCCTCAGCGCCTCGAGCTCCTCGGCCTTCTGCTCGCGCTCGTCGACCGTGTCCTCGTCTCCTCCCTCGGCGACGCGCTCCTTGACCTGCTGCGCATGGACCTCCTCGCGCTCGGCAACGGCTTCCGAGATCTCGGCGTCGGCGTCGGCCTCGAGCTGCGCGACGCGCGCGTTGAGGTGCTCGATGAGCGAGTCGTAGATGGCGTAGGCGGCGGCGAGGTCGGGCTTGCCCTCCTCGAGGTCGGCGAGCGTGTAGGCGAGGAGCAGGCTGCGGAACGTGCGGCGCGAGCGCTATCAGTGCTGGGCCTGCGCGAGAGGGTAAAGAAGACGAGGGCGCACCTGCTCTTGTTGGCCGAAAGACCCTCCCGAAGCTGCTTGTGCGCGTCCTCGACGCGGCCCATGCGCAGGTTGAAGCTCGTCGCGAGGTACCTGTCGGTCGTCGGGCTCGTCAATCGGCGCCCGCCTTGATTGCGAATCGCAGGAGGAGCGAGAGGGAGACGCACCAGATCTCGGGGTGGAAGCGCAGCTTTGAGATGGCCTTGCGGTACGCAAAGTTGACGCGCTGATGGAGCAGGTTCGGGTCCTCGAGCTCGAGCGGGTTGGTCTCCTCGAACGCGAGGTAGCGCTTCCAGCCCTCGACGGCCTCACGCTCCTCGGGGGCGGACCAATCGGGCCGGCGAGGGAGGAGCGGAGCGTACAGGTGGTCGTGCTGGGCGCGCAGCTCGCGCAAGGTCTTGCGGGCCGTCATGTAGGCGGGCGACAGCTCGGCGATAAACTTCTTGGCCTGCAGGATATGTCGCACGAGGTCAGATTGTGCGCGAGACGAGGAGGAAGGACGAGAAGGGAAAAGAGGGCGCACCGTCATCTTGCTCAAGTTGTTCTCGAACGCGTTGTAGTCCTGCCAGATCATCTCGACGCTGTTGAGCGGGGCTTGTACGGCTCGCTGGAACGCCTTGCGCAGCTGGTCCATCTTCTGCTGGTCCTCCCACGTGCCGCGAGTCTGTGACCGAGCGGCGAAGGTCAGTGCGCGTTCGACGAGGAGAGAATGAGGGAGATGCGAGAGAGAGAGGGACGCACCGGCGCCTCCTTGAGGAACGCGATGTACTCGCCCCAGATGTCGCCGGCACGGCGATCGTGTCCGACGTGCGACAGGGCAAACTCGAACGCGGCGCCATGACGGACCGAGCCTGCTTGGCGAGGTCGAGGTTGGCCGGGTCGATCGGGTTGACGCGGCGGATGTAGTCGAGGTAGAAGCGCCACAGGTCCACCGAGGTCGACGAGCGGCAGCACCGGCCGAAGATGGCCTCGACGCGGTCGAACAGGTTGTGCGTGAGCTCGAGGTTGCAGTAGGCGATCCATTGCTGAGCCTGTCGACGACGCGCAGCGTCAGTACAGTGCCTCTCCAAGACACAAGAGCCTCTCGGTGGCCAGAGAAGGAGAGGGAAGAAAGATCGAGTTGCGGCAGGGCGAACGACGAAAAACGAGGGAGGGTGCGTGGACTCACGGCGTCGGGAAACACGGCGAGGAACTTCTCGTACACCTCGCGAGTTCTCTCGAGGTCGCCCTTGGACTCGGCGTCCTGCAGGAGCGCGAGCTGGGCCTCGCCGTCGAGCGGGTCCTTCTCGACCCTCGCCGTGAGCTGCGCAACCCGCGACAGCCCGCTCGTCGCCGCAGCGCCCGCCTTGGCCCGAGGCGCCTCGCCGCCGGCGCCGTTGGCGTCGGGCGCACCGCCGGCTGCTGGCGGAGGAGGCGTCGCGACCGCGGCCGGAACGTCTCCCGCCGACGCCGCCTGATTGTAGATGGTGGTCGGCGTGCTCGTCGCCTCCCTCCCGATCGAAGCCGCCGCCGCTGCCGCCGCTCCTGGTCCCTCGTGAGTGCTCGAGGACAGCTCTGCTGCAGGCTCGGATGCAGGCTCGGACGCAGGCTCAGTGTCCATTGCGAGCTGGCTCAAGGCCGACGGCTGCGACTCGGGCTCGGGCGCGGGCGTCTCGACAGGGTGCTCGGATACTGCGGGAGCGCTCGAGTCGGCCTGGACGGGCTCTTGCGGCGGTGCTGCTTGGTCGGCGGGGTCGGCGAGCGGGGTCGAATCGTCGGCGGCGGGCTCAGGCTCGGCGGCGGCGGCGAGGTCGGCGGGAGCGGGATCAGTCGGTGCAGGCTCTTGAGACGCCTGCTGAGGCTCTTGGGGCATCTCGGTGTCGTCTGCGGGCGCGGGCTGGTTGGCGGGGTCGACGGCGAGATGAGGCTTGCGGCGCGGGTCGAGTGTCGGCTCGGGGGCGGCTACCGGGGTGGGCTGCGGCGTGTCCGACATGGGTGGCAGGCAGGAGCAGTCGCTCAGGGGACTCGCACGCTCAGCAGAGGAGGCGAGGCGATGGTGGAGGAGCAAGTCAGTGGGGCGACCCTCTCGTCGTTTCAACCTCGGCCTCTCCTCGCCTCACTCCTCTCGTGCGCCGACTTGCACCTGCTCAGAGTCACCAGAACCCGCATTAGCACCTCCCAGCCGAACCGCGCAACCACCCGAGCCGTTCCCACTCGCGCCTCCTCGTCTGCCTCTCGCCCGCGCCTTTGCCGCAACCATGGCGTCCGCCGCCGCACCTGCATCGGCCGACGCAGCCCCAACCACCACATCAAAGCTTGCTCGCACCCGCGCCAATCTCGCCTACCTCGCCAACCCAAAGGGCGCCGGTGCCCCCTCGTCGCTCGTCACCCGCTCGTCCCTCAAGACGTTCCGCTACATCCTCCGCTTCGTCTTCTGGCGCATGGTCCGCTACGCAGTACGTCCAACTCCTTGTCCTCTCGGTTCCTCCCGGACCCATCCACTCACCGTGCTAGCCCGCCCTCGCAGAAGTACGCCATCGTCGGCGCAGGTGCCGCAGCTCTAGCGGGCACGTTTGCCGGCGCCGCCATTCCCTGGGTCGGCGCCCTGCTCGTCCCGAGCGTCCCTGTCGCGGCGGCCATGGGTGCGACTACCGCCCTGATCAAGGTCCGCCCCCGTCCCCCTCCCTTCTCGCCTCCCTCCCTGCTCGACGAGCTCTCTCACTCACACTCTACCTCGCGCAGTTCACCTGGCGGCATCGCGGCAACCACTTCCGCCAAGGGTGGCTCTCGGGCGGCGACGGCGACCCTCGCGCCGACTAAGCTCTCATGTTTCACGTACTAAGCTCTCATGTTTGAACAATAAAATTAATATAAATCAGCAACTTAAATAGCCTCTAAGCTGTCGCTGGGGCTGGAGGAGGCGCACACACTTAGATAGTACCCCCCCTTGTTGATAATACAGGACGTTCGCGCGCTACCAGTTGGCAAACATGGCCGCCATCTCGTCCGTCGTCTCGCCCTTGTCGCCCCTCAGCGGCTCCTCCACGACGTCGACCGCCGTCCCTTTCCCCTTGTCGTCCACCCCTGACTCGCCTTGCACACCCTTGCGCACCGACGAGCCCGCGAAAGCCGCATCCGAGAGCGCCGCACGGGCCGCGCCCGTCGTCGACGAGCCCTGCACCGTCGCGCGCTCGACTTGCTCGCGCCGCGCAACCTCGTCGACGCTGACAGCCCTCGCGCGCTGCAGCACGTTCGTGTCCTGCACGCCGATGCTCGTCTCGAGCGGCGACGGCGGGCCGTCGGCGCTGTCGGTGTCGGCGGACGATGACTCGCGCAAGGACGAGAGGTAGGCGAGCTGCGGCGAGTACGAGAGCGAGGTTGTGTGGGCGTGGGGCGCGGGTGCGGCGAAGGACGACGAGGTGGCGGTGTGCAGGGCGGCGGGCGTGTAGCCGCGAGGGGCGAGGAGCGAGGGCGCGATCGAGGCGGGAGGGGCCGTGCGAGGGCGGTACAAGCCGGGAGCGACGATCTGTGCAACGCGACATGGTCAGGCTCTGTCTGGCGGGACTGAAAGAGATCCAGAGAGGACGAGAGACGCACCTGCTCATCGGCGCTCGGCTCGGCTCCTCCTCCCTCGACTTTGAGCTCGCCGACCGGCTTGCGCTCGACGCCCTGCTGCTCGAGCCATCGGTCGGTCCGAGCCGAGTGCCCCGGGTCGACCCTCGCACGCGATAGGTCGGCCTGGGCGAACGAGGCCGCAAATGACGTGGCGGCGTCGAACGCCTCGTCAAGGTCGTTGTCGTGCGAGGGATCTGCTGCAGCTGTGGAACGCGTGCGTCAGGGAACCCTGGTCGAGATTGTGGAGGAGTGAGAGAGAAGAGACGCACCTGGTTCCTCGCTCGAGAGCGCCTCGTCCTCGTCCTCGTCCTCGCCGAACTGCACCGCCGGCGAGCTCGCCCGCTCAGGCCACAGCAGCGCCTCGTTCTCGCCCGACGCTCGCTCGCCCACCGCCACCGCGTCCGGCACGCCGAGGCCAAAGTCGAGCGTGCCGAGCCCGAGGTCGTCGAGCGTGAAGCCAAGCTCGAGAGGCTGGAGGCACACGGGCGCAGGCGCAGGCGCGGTCTCGATCTCGGACGGCGGTGATGATGGCGAGGTGACCAACGAGGCGTCGTGCGTGGGGACGGCAGTACTCGTCGGCGGGCCGAAGCGCGGCTCGAGCGGCGTCGGCGGGATGAGGACGAACGAGGAAGGCGCCGTCGTCGCCGGCACCGACGGCGACACGGGAGGCTGAGCCGTAGTCGAGGTTCTCGTATCGACGAGGAGCGACGAGGGACGAGCCGGCACAGGCGGCGGGACGTCGTCGACGGCGAGCAAGGGCGCCGGCGGAACAGGCGGCGCCGGGCTCGGCGGTAACGGCGTCTCGAGGGCCATGTGCGGCGGGAACGAGAGCACGTCCTTCTCGCTCGAGCTCGTGGCCCTCGCGCTCGCGAGCGACTCGGCCGACGGCGCGTCGTAGCCGGGCAGGTCCTCCTCGACCTCGCGGCCGTCCTCGAGCGGGCGCGGCGCGACGAGCGCCGCCGGGCCCGGCGCGACACGCGACGGCGACGGTGGGCTCGGCGATGGTGGGGCGGGCGTCGGGGCGGCTGGCGACGGGAGCCTCGCGAACGTCGCTGCGGCTTGCGAGGCCGTGACGCTCGACTGCGTCGCCGGTGCTCCCCAGCTCGTCTGCGCGAGCGCGCCCTGCGGAAGCTGCGGCTGCTGGACCGAGGCGAGGTGCGGCGGGTAAAGCGACTGGCTCGTCGGCGCAGGCGCACGAGCGGGCGACGAGGTCGGCGGCGGCGTGACGGGCAGGATGGGCGGGCCGGCAGGCAGGTCGCCGTGGCCCGACGCCCCGGTCGGCGCACTCGTAGCGACGTGCACGGGCGCCGCGACTTGACCGTGCGGCGCGCTCGTCGCTGGCGGCCTTGGGCCGGGTGCGGGCAGCGCCGCCGCGAACAGCCGGGGGAGCACGCTGCTCACCGACAGCCCGGCCGTCCCAAAGTGCGCGGCGTAGTGCTCGTCGCTCGACGATGCCGCCGTCGGCGCGAGCGCAGGCGCAGGCGCAGTCGCGGCGGCGAACGCGCTCGGGCCCGCTGCTGACGTGGCGACGTGCTGCGGCATGACCGGCGGCGGTGGTGGCGGCGCGGGCCAGTACGGCTGCGAGGTCGGCGCGAGGGTGGCAGGCGGGACGAGCGGCGGTGCGGTAGCCGGCTGGCTCGCAGCGGCGTAGCTCGGCTGCGAGTACGGCGCTTGCGAGTAGGCCGACGAGGCGGAAGGCGCCTGCACGTACGACGCCTGCGAGTACGGGCCCGACGACATGGGCACATGCGCCGGGTTGGCGACCGATGGCGCCGAGATCAGCTGCGGCTGTGAGACGCCGCTCGACGGCGACGGGTAGATGGGCAGCGAGTCGGGCCCGGTGCCCGAACGCGGCAACGCCTCCTCGCCGCTCGTCGGCGCCGGCACGCCGTACCGTGGCGCGTGCGAGAGCTCGTCGCGCGCCTCGTTGTTCTCGGACGGCGCGACGCGAGGCTCGTAGGACGGGAGCGGCTCGGCCGGCGCCGCTTCTGCGGGTTCGACCACCTCGGCCGGCACGTGCGGCTCGTGGACGTGCGCAGGACGAGCTGCGTACGGCTCGCCGTAGCTCGTCGACGCTTGAGCGGCAAGTGGCGGTGCGGCGGCGACGAGTGCGGGCGCGGCGCCGGGGTCCGACCACGTGTTGCCGGGTGCGACGAGCGGCGGCGGCGGCGGCAGAGCCGGCGCAGGCGGCGGCACAAGCTCGGGTCGATGAGGTGCGGGTGCGAAGGCGGAGGCGACGAGAGGAGGAGGTGGGCCTGGGTGGGTCGCCGGCGGAGCTGGAGGAGCGCCGGGGTGGACGGGTGGGGCGTACGCGAAAGCGGGTGGCGCGAGTGGCGGTATGCTGCGGCAGAGCGACGGGTCAGTGCGACTCTAGAAGGAGAGTGAGGCGACGAAAGACGGACCTGGCGTGCGCATGGGCGTGAGTGGCCGACCCGCCGACCATCCCGCCGACGAGCGCCGCTCCGCCTGCGCCTGCGCCCGCCGCTCCCGCTTGTCCCGCATGCGGCCCTGGCTCTGTCGCCGCACCCTGCGGCATGGCCGGCCTCCTCGCCGCCCTCCCGCCGCGCCTCGTCGCCGCGCGCCCGAGCGCCCGCGTAAAGAGGAACGGCTCGAGCGGCGCCTCGTCGCGGCTCTCGAGCCAGTCGTACGGGCTCGAGGCGCCCGAGCGCTGACGCTGCGTGCCGGCGCCGACGGCCGAGGTGCGCGGATGAAGCGGCGGCGGGCGGTGGTACGTGATGGGCTCGACGGGCGGGAGCGGCTCGGACGCGGCGCGCGCGACGCCCGGCGGCGCCGAGATCCGCCGCGCGGCCGGGTGGCTCGAGGTCGTGAGCGTGCGGGCGGGCGCGACGAGCGGCGGGAGCGCGATCGGGCGCGAGTCGCGCAGGCTCGACGGCTCTTTGCGCGTCGGCGGGCCGTGCGCCGCCGGCTCGTGCTCGTCGTCGCCAACCGGGTCGCCGTCCTGGCCGAGCTGGAACGGCGTGACGTGCGACTGCGGGACGGGCAGGCTCGAGTCGACCGAGTTGGCGCGGTTGTGCCCGACCTCGCGCACGATCGACGGCTGCTGCCCGGCTGCACTGCCGCCGACGAGCTGCGTCGCTCGCCCCCAGAGCGAGCTGAGGATGCCCTGCGGCTGCTCGGCCGCGTCGGGCGCCGAAGGAGGAACGGCGGCGGCCGCGACGGGACGAGGGGATGAGGCGCGGCGCGGGCGAGTCGACGGTGGGGAAGCCGACCTCTCGCGGTCGGGCCGGCGAGAGGGCGGTGCGGCGTGCGACGCGGCTCGGGCTCGAGGCTGAGGAGCGTGTCGGGGCGAAGGCGAACGAGGCGGCGAGCGCTCAGGCGAGTACTCGGGCGAAGACGGCGGCGACGGCGTCCTCGCTCGGCGGTTGAGCCCGAGTTTGCGCGCGCGCGAGATGCTCGCCGACGTCCCGCCTCGACTCGGCGCGTCGCCGCCGTTGCCGTCGCTCGTGCGCGACTCGGCTGCGAGGCGTTCGAGCCGCGAGGGCGCAGCCGTGCCCGGCAGCCTGCCGCTGCCCCGCCCGCTCGTGCCCCAGCTGCTCAGGAGGGTGCCGCTCGGGTTGGCGAGCTTGGGCTGCGAGGTCGAAGCGGTCGTGGTCGACGGTCGAGAGGTGGACGAGGTCGGCGGCGTCGTGGCGGCGGGTGCGGGCGAAGGTGAGGGCGACGCGAACATGCCGGGGAGGACGCGGCCGCCTGGCTGGACTGGGCGGCGCTCTGGCTGTCGGCCGAACGCGCCCGCCTTCATCTTGCGCTTGTCGTCGTCGGCGCCGTGGTGGAAGCAGCAGGAGGGAGCGCGCGAGGCCCGAGGCGAGAGGGTCCGCGAGGCGCGAGCGAGGCGAGCGTGCGGACGGCGGACTCTCCGTGGAGCGCTGCCCGAGCTCCTCGCGCTGTCTCGGCCGCCCGCCGAGCTCGTTTAAACGCGCTCAGGAGGAGCTGGCGCCGACCGGCGTCGCGATCGCTCGGCTCGAGCAGATGAGGGGGAGGGGGAGGTGGAGCGCAAGCGCTGGCGTTGGAGGGAGAGCGCAGCGCCTTGGCAGTGCGAGGCTGAGAGGCTCTGGCATGCTGGCCGAGCTCGTCGGTCGAGGCGCGAGCGTGGAGGAGGCGGATGAGAGGCTCGCGGCCGCCGGCTCCTCCTCGACGAGCAACCCCGCCCTTGCCTGTCGACTGAACAGCCGCTGAGGGTGACCTGTGCACCTTGTCGGTACGTCCCAGCCCACTCGCCTCGTCGCACGCCCAGAGCTCACCTCGTCGTCCCGCAGACCGCGACTCGCCCATGTCCGCCCTCTCGACGCTCCGCTTCGCCACGTTCCGCGTGCCGAACCAGGTCTTCTACCAGAGCGCACTCTCGGCCGGCATCGTCAACCTCAAGCCCCTCGTCCCTGGTCGTGCGTCGTCGCCTCCCCCTCCTCCTCCCCCGCTCCTCGAGCCGAACAAGTGGGGGCTCGCCTCGTCGCCCCCTGAGCTCACCTGCACACTCGCACCCGCGCAGACGTCCTCGTCATCCCTCGAAGAGTCGCGACCAGGTTCCGCGACCTGACCGCCGACGAGGTGACCGACCTGTTCCAGAGCGTGCACCAGATCAGCCGGGTCATCGAGCGCGAGTACAAGGCCCAGTGCGTCCCTCTCGCCTGTCTGCTTGCCATCCTGTTCATCAACTGACCCTGTCCACGAACGCAGAGCCCTCAACATCGCGCTGCAAGACGGCCCTCTCGCAGGACAGTCGGTTCCTCGTGCGTCTCTCTCGCTCTCTCTTTCCCTCGGCCGTCGGGACCTGAGCTATCCTCTGCGCAGATGTCCACATCCACATCATCCCTCGACACGCCAAGGACTTTGAGCCCATAGACGACAGTGCGTCGCTCGTTCTCTCTCACCCGTTCCGCCGGCTCGAGCCCCCGTACTGACCCTCTCGCCGCCCTCAGTGTACACCGAGCTCGACTCTAAGGACCTCGGCCAAGAGTTTGCCGACGCCTACGCCTCTCGTCCTACACGAGCCGAGCGCAAGGCGTTTGAGGCCGAGCATCGAGCCAAGGAGCAGGGCAAGGTGGACGCGCCGTTCGCCGGCATCGAGGACGAGCGCCGACCGAGGGCGGCCGACGAGATGCGCGACGAGGCGCAGAGGCTCAGTGAGCTGTTCCCGCCGGAGAACCGCGTCGCGTTTGCATAGAAGCCGTCCATTTGCAGGCTCTCGAGCGTCGAGAGCGAGAGTCAGCCCTCGCGAGTCACTCTTTGTGTAGTTCGCGCAGCATACTTCGGCTCGTTACAGCCTCGTATATCTTTGTATAACCGCTCAGAGCAAGAAGTCGAGCTCTCGTCGTCGTCGCTCGTCGTCGCCGTCGGCCAGCTCCTCTTGACCTCGACCACCTCGCTCGTCTCGCCACGATGCCGCCTCGAGGCTCGCCCGGCAAGGGCAAGGCCAAGCTCGGCACCGACATGACGCCCCTCGCCCTGCCCGCCCTCCTCAAGCTCCTCACGTCCTCGGGCCCGCGCCCGCCCCACCTCGACATGCGTCAGGCGATGCAGGCCGCGAGCAAGCTCGTGCCCAAGGGCTACACGTCCGAGGGCAAGCTGCGCCTCCTCACCGGCGCCGACCTCGCCCAGCTCGGCATCGCCGACGACGACCTGCGCAAGGCGCTCCTCGCCGTCATCAGCGGCAAAGCCTCGGGCGCCGGCTCGGCCAAGGGCAAGGCGGCGGCGGCTGGGGACGGGGCAGCAGCAGCAGAGGGAGAGGTCAGGAGGAAGCGCGCGAGGGACAGCGACCTCGACAAGCCGCTGCCGACCCGTGCGCCCAAGGGCGACTCCGTCGACGAGGACTTTCAGTTCGACGAGATCGAGGCAGAAGAGGTGCGCCCCCTCTGCCTTCCCTCCTGCACGCACACCGTACTGACACTGCACTCTTGAGCGCGCAGGCCCTCGTCAAGAAGTTCTGCCTCACGAACCGCGCGCCCGTCATGACGGCTTGGGCTTGCGTTGTTGCCGAACGGCTCGGGTTCCGCCGACAAGAAGCGCTCAGCATCGGTGCGTCCTCGTCCGCTCCCTCGAGAGGCGCACGTCGAGGCGGTGAGCTGACCTCGGCGCGAGCGGACCTGCAGCACACGTCTTTACCGACATGAACGCGACGTCCAAGGGCGTCTCGCTCGGCCTCATGTCGGCCGACGCGCTCAAGGTCGCAGTCGGGCCGTCGCAGCCTTTCGTCGAGATCCTCGGGCGCAAGGTGCGTCCTCGCTCGCCGTCCTCGATGCCCAAGAGACTCGTTTTTGACCCTCGCCTCCTCCCTCCAGGTCCCGGTCCTGTCGACCCAGAACGGCGAGTGGCGCGCCATCTCGAAGGGCCTGGTCGCAGATCCGGGCAAGGCGTTCGCCTACATGCGCAACGCGTTCAGGCAACAGCTTGGCGCCGTCGTCGGTGCGTCGCCTCCTCTCTCTCGCTCCGTGCCCCGAGGGCCCTCGACTGACCTCGGTCTCTCCCGCAGGCTCGATGCGCCTTCTCGCCGACAGCTTCTCGCCGGCAGAGCTCAACACCAAGGTGCGTCTCCTTGTTCCCCTTCCTCTCGTGCCTCGAACGCTCGTCGACATCGCTCGCCTCGCAGGGATACGGCCTGTACCTCGACTTTCGCCCAGACGTCGACGGTTGGGGCAAAAAGGCCGAGCTCCGCATGTCGACCATCCTCGGCCTGCGGCGCTTCCTCACGCACGCGCCCGTCGACGACGCGCCCGAGGCGAGCGGCAGCCGGCAGCAGGAGGACGAGGAGGAGCGAGCGCGCGAGGTCAAGCAGGAGGTGGACGGGGCAGACGCGCCGGTGCGCGTCGAGGCCGAGCCCGAGGACAACGCAGGCGGTGTCGAGCGGGTGACGAAGCGGGTCAAGCGCGAGGAGGACGGCGGCGAGGACGACGTCAAGTCGAGCGTGGTCGCCGCCGAGGACGAGTTCGACGCTCTCCTCGCCGAGGACGACGACCTGTTTGCGGCCGTCGACCTTTGAGTAGTGCCCTCTCCCCCTCGTGCTTGTTGTTACAGTACCCGCAGCCCTGCAATCGTCGTCGTCGTCTCTGCCCTTCCTCTCTCTCTCTCCTCGAGATCGTTCTTCCCTTTCTCTGCCCTCTTTGCGTCTCTCGCCTTTGAGGCTTGAACTTGCGACGCCTGCGTCTGTGCCCGCAGCGAGAGGGCAAGCGACGTACATGCGCGCTCAGGCCTTGCGCGGCTGCGTGAGAGGGCCTGGACTTCTCCGACGTCGGAGGAGTCTAGGCTCTTCCTTAACGTCGATCTATTGCGGCTCGCTCGAGGGGAGGTTTCTTGCACGGTCGAGCGCTCTCACTCGCTCTCACCGAATCTGCCGCACAAGGAGGTCGAGCGCGACGTTGCCAGGCGCGGACTGAAGCTCAGAGAAAGCGGTCCGAGCTTTCCGGCGGCCGATTGTGCAACGCTGGAGGAGCCGAAGCCTGAGGGGGCTCGAGAGCAAGTCGAGGACGAGAACGATCCCTGCGCCGCCGACAGACGCTCGCGCTGTCTCGTACGCTCAGGATCTACTCGAACAAGTCTAAAGAGAGAGCTCGCACCCGAACGAGCCAGGAGGAAGAGCTGTTAACCGCCTCGCGAGCCTTGGACTCGAAGGAGGAGAGCAAGAGAGGGTTGGCGGCACCGAGCCCGACGTTGGCCGCAGCGGGCCGACGCAGCATCGCAGCCTGCTGCCGCCAGCGACGAGGGAGAGAGCGCAGCTGATGCGGGCCCGACGCTGGCTAGAGAGCAGCTCTGCACTGCGCGGCGAGCTGTAGCAGAGCGAGGACAGCCCGCGACACGCTTCCGAGAGGGCGCGCCGGACCCGAGAGCCGCGTAGAGCGTCCTCGAGGTCCTTGCGGAAGCGTTGGGAGTCTAATGCAGCTCGCTGCGCCGCCTGGGCGTGCTTGGACCAGCTGTGACGAGCGCGAGAGGCCGCCGCCCGAACCAGCGCGGGTGCTCGAGCGTCTGCAGGCGCAGCACGGGGTCCCGCAGAGCTGAAGACGACAGCGAGGCCCTCATGCGGACCGCAGCTGGTGGTCGCGTCGTCGTCGAGGCGCCAGATGAGGCGGGCGAAGAGGACGAGAGGGCGAGAGCGACGCCGCGTCGAGGGCTGGAGCCGCCAGCCTGGGGCGCCGGCAAGAGAGCCTGTAGCACGGCTGAGAGCTCTGCGCACGCTCAGCGAGGAGCTGGTGAGGACGGTCCGGTCGACGAGCCTCGTCGCGCTCTCCTCCTCGCTCCTCTCCCTCCTTCGTCCCACTCGCCTCGCCCACCGCGCCTCCTGTGCGCCTGGCTGTCGGCTAGCCTTGCTCTTTGTCCTTTCAGCAGCGACATGTACCGCCCTCGCACCGCCTAGCGCCCACCTCGCCAACGCGCCGTCGCGGGAAAATCCTCCTCTCCGCCGACCCTCCTCGATACGGCTCTCTCGGCTTGACTGGTGCGTCCCACTCTCCCTGCTCCTCCCCTACTGCCCCTGCACCCCCTGGAGAGGACGACAAATCAACAAACTGCAAACTCGAGGGTTGCCTGTGTCCACGGACGCAGCTCCCACCTTCATGAGATACCTTGTATCCAACGCTTAACCTGATCCTATAGCGCACGACGGCGGCAGCAGCAGCACCTTGCCTTCACACGTCGAGCTTTGACTGACCTCCTTGCCGTCCTGCAGGTCTTCTTCTTTCCGCTCGACCCGACCGCCATGCGCGTTCGCCCGGTCCGCTCGACCCGACGCGACACGCCGTCCCCTACCTGCTCTTCTTCGACGACACGCGCCAGCACTCGCTCGGTGACGGATACCGGGCTCTGTCGCCGTCGAGGGTCTTCCTCGCGGCCGACGACTCGGTGGCCTCGCCTCGGCCCTTCTCGGATGGAGACGGCGCACCTCGTTCGGGCATGATTAGCCAAATAAGATCAGAACCGCTAATCTCGAGGTCGTCGTCGACGCTTCGTCCTGTCGCCTCGGCATGGGACGGGCGGTTGACGGCGCCTGATGAAGCGCAATCTCAAAACGTGGATGACCCGAACGAGGCGCCGTCTCCTCCCTCTTGTACCCCCTCGAGCCGCAATGCGACCTGTGTCTTCCACGATCCACGTCGCCTCGCGAATCCCACGGTGCGAGCGACCCACGGTCTCGCTCGCCCGGATCTTCTGCTTCCCGGCCGAGCCGTCTCGCGCTATCGCTTGCGGGCTTCCGTGGAGCTCTCCTTCGCCTCTTCCTCGCACTCTACTCGCCCCTGTCGTCGCCATGGTCTCTGCTCCTCGCTCCTTCACGCCGCTGCCGACGCAGCCCAGCTTCATCTCGCTGTCGCCCGAGGAGAAGGAGGTGAGCCCGCGCTCGTCCTCTCGCACGCCGCGGTCCTCCTGATTGACTCTCGCTTCGCCTCCCTGCAGAGTGGCAGATGGTCTCGAGCCAACATGCAGCGCGCTATGGAGATCCTGCACCGCGACGGCCTGCTCGCCATCACGGGCCTCGTCGACCCCGAGCACGTCGTCGCCCTGCGCGACTCGATGCTCGCCACCGCCCAGGTCATCAAGCAGCAGGTCAAGGAGCTCTCGCAGTACAACCACGGCATCAGCAGCAACTTCCTCATGTCGGCGCCGCTCGCCGACCCGGACCTGCGCTTCCAGGACGTCTTCGCAAATCGCTTCGTGCACCAGGTCGTCGAGGGCTATCTCGGGCCGGGCATCAAGCTCAACCTCTTGACCGCGAATTGCGCAATCGCCGGTGCGACGCAGCGGCAGAACGTGCACAAGGACGCGCCCTGGTGAGCCTTCTTTCTCACTCTCGCGCTCTCCCTTTCACAGGGTCCGAGCGGCTTCCTGATCCTCCTCTCGACCACACAGGCTGCACCCGAACTGCCCGGGCATGCTCAACACGAACCTCGCACTCTCAGGTCCGTCCCGCCGTCGTCCTCGAGCCTGTCCTCGAGACTGACTTTCTCGACCTTCCTCCTTCCACCTTACTCTTCCTCTCTCTCCCTCTCTCGCAGACTTTACGCCCGAGAACGGCTCGACCGAGTTCTGGCTCGGCAGCCACAACTGCACGACCGGGCACGACCAGGTGTGGCCGACGCGCGAGTCGGCGACGCCGCTCTGCGACGTCGCGCCCGACACGCTCGAGGAGCGTCGGCGCGTGCGGCCGGGTGCGCAGATCCGGGTCCCGATGGGGACGATCACGCTGCGCGACATGCGGACCTGGTGCGTCGACTCGTTCTCTGTGCGCACGAGCCGCTCGAGCCTGGGTACGATCGCTCACGACGGCCCCTCTCGTCGCTGCAGGCACGCCGGCATGCCCAACTTGACCGACCAGGACCGGATCATGACGGCGGTGGGCTACTCAGCGGCGTGGTGGCCCGAGCCGGAGCAAAGGATGAAGGTGAGCCCTCCCGCTCTCGCTCTTTCTCCTCCTCTCCTCGCCTCTCCCCCTCTCTCCTTCCTTTCCACGCCAACCTCACGCTCGTCGTCGTCGGGTCCGCCCCTGCGTCGACGGTCCCACTGACGCTCTCATGCGCCCCTCAGGCTCCAAGTTCGGCGAGACCGCTCCTCACCGCGACCGACCACGCCCTCGAGTTTATCCCCGACGCCGACTGGCTCGCCATCTCGCAGAACTGGGACCTCGCCGACGAGTCGAGCATCAAGCTGCCGGACGTGCCGGGCCACCGCAAGCGCTCGAGCGCGCCCGAGGGGGAGAAGGAGTGGGTCGCGCTCAACGAGGTCAGGGACGAGGAGAAGTACGTGCGCGAGTAGCTGTGCGAGGTGTCTGTAGCAGTCTGTATTCCACGTCTGTGTCTTTGTGAGCCTCTCGCGCAGCGAGAGCGGCGAAAGCTGTTTCGCAGTGACCTTCTCAAGTCGCTCTCGAAGCGTCGTTCGCTCGGCAAGACCTCAAGGGGCGCTCTCTGTTGCCAGTACAGCTCTTGGCAGCTCTCTCGAGACGTCTGCTAGCTCTCGAGAAGGCGAGGAGGACCGGACAAAGCTCTCTCTCGACGGGCGGCGACGAGGAACGACGATCGGCGACAAGCGGGTTGCAGACTGCTCCTCTCCCCCCTCGCTACGCTCCGACAGGCGTGAGCTCGATCGCGCTACAGGGGACGGGTCGATTCAGTCAGGGCCGAGGTCGAGAGAGAAAGAGAGAGGGAACGAGAGGAGAGCGGGACGCACTTCTTGGTCGCGCCGAGGAGGGCCGTCAGCTGCAGCTTCTCGCTCCCGCCGGTCGACAGCCTGTGCCTGCGTACAGTGGAGGAAGGCCCGTCAGTCCCGGCGTTGCGAAAGGAGGCGGTCCGTGACGACGGAGGAAAAGGAAGGGGAGAGACGACGACGCACTCGACCTGGGCAATCTGGTCGAGGAAGTAGACCCTCGTCGGCGCGCTGAAGTCGACCGTCGTCGCAAAGTCGTACACGCCCTGGATGATGTCCTGCAGGGCGAGGCCCTTTTCCGTCTTGAGCGACGAGATGCCTGAGGGAGCGAGAGCGAGTCAGTCTCGTCGCCGATGGCGCAGCGGTACGAGCGCGCATAGCTCGGTCGTACCGCACGAAAGAGAGACGCAGAGAGACCGAGACGCACGCTGGTAGGCCACCTCGAACGAGTCGTTCATCATGCTGCGCATGATCTCGTCGATGTCGCGCGGCTCGGGGTTGCCCGTGCAGCGGTACACGGCCGTCTCGTCAGTCAGGTCGTATGCGGCGTGGCAGGCCTGTCGAGGGGGAGAGAGGGGTCAATTTGCGTCGCGCTGAGCCAAGAGGGGAGGGACGAGGGCGCACCTGGAGGACGTTGAGCGCGCGCCGCATGTCGCCGCGAGAGAGCTTGAGGAGGGCTTGACGACCGTCCTCCGACAGCATGACCCTGTGGCAGAGAGAGGCGGAGAGAATGAGCCGGCTGTGTCGGGACCGCAGTCGAGATTTCGAGAGAGGTGGACGCACTTCTCCTGCTCGACGACGTGGCTCAGGCGCTTCTCGACCTCCTCCTTGGGCAAAGGCGCGAAGCTGCAGAACTCGAGGCGGGTCAGAGACGGGTCGTTCGCAAGCTAAGGGGGAGGAGGGACGCACCGGAAGCGGGTGCAGCGCGACTGGATGGCCGGGATGATCTTGTTGACGTAGTTGCAGATGATGCAGAAGCGCACGTTCTTGGTGTACTGCTCGATGACTGTCGACGCATTCAGAGGGTAAGAGGAGGGGCAAACGGGCTGAGAGAGAGGGGAGCGAGGACGGACCGCGACGCAGGGCAGACTGGGCGGCCGTCGTCATCATGTCGGCTTCGTCGAGGATGATGAGCTTGAAGCCGAGTCTGTAGGCGCAGAGTGAGGCATGAGTGAGGCGTACTCGAGGGCACGAGAGGGCTGGGACGCACCCTGCCGAGCCCTGCATGCGCGTGCTCGCAAAGTTCTTGATCTGCTCGCGGACGACGTCGATGCCGCGGTCGTCGGACGCGTTGAGCTGCCGATCGAGAGGGTGAGCGGTGAACTTGCGGCGCGAGGGAGGGGAGCGGCGGGGCGCACCTCGAGGCAGTTGTTGCGCATGATGGCCTGGTCGCCGTAGATCTTGCGCGCGACGGCGAGGATGGTCGACGTCTTGCCCGTGCCCGGCGGGCCGTAGAAGAGGAGGTGGGGCACACGGTTCTTGATGATGAACTGGTCGACTGCGCGTGAGCGACAGGGTCAGCGCGTGCGCTCATGCAGGGGATGAGAAGGGACGCAACTGGTTGCGATGATGTCCTTGTGGGCGACGACGTCGTCGAGGGTCGCCGGACGGTACTTCTCGACCCAAGGCAGAGCGTCTGGAGGTGCGAGAGGGGGAAGTCAGGGCGGGCGCGAGTGGGGGAAGATGAGGACGAGGGGGACGTGCCGGTGAGTGCTGCGAGGCCGAGCTCTCCGGCCTTGCCCTTGCCCTTGTCGACCTTTGCGGTGGCGTCGTGCATGACCTGGTCGTCGGCAGACATGGCGAGAGGCGGAGAGAGGGCGCGACTGATGAGGAGAGGGGAGGACGAGGGGAGGGAGCGTGACGAGCTCTGCGGGGGTCGGCGAGCGCGTCAGTGGGCTCTCTGAGAGCAGGCGATGCTCCAGGTGCTCACCTAGTCGAGGTGTGGTCGAGGGTGAGGAGGTGGACCTCGACGCGACTCTGTCGCTCTCGTCGTCGCTCTCGGCTACACCGCCCAGCCCGAGCTTGGCACTGCTGCCATGCAAGCGCTGTACACCTGCAACCCGACCGTGGCCAACAGCGCCGCCCCGCCCATCCCGCTCGCCGGTGCCTGGGCGCGTCGCTTCCCCGCCTCGCCCTCTCGACCGCTCGTCAACCTCGCACAGGGCGTGCCCGGCAGTCCGCCACCGCCAGCCTTCCTCGACAAGCTCGCCGACTATGCCCGCGACCCCGACACGTCAAAGTACGGCCCGCTCGAGGGCGACGACGGCCTTCGCTCGGCACTCGCTCGCGACATCAACCGCGCCTACGGCCACGCAACGCAGCCCGTCACCATGCACGACGTCGTAATCACCGCAGGGTGCAACCTGTGAGCACGCCCCTCTCGCCATTCTCGAGCCCGCGACGCCGCCCGCTGACTCTCGTCCTCTTGCCGACAGCGCCTTCTACTCGACCATGCTCGCCCTCGCCCAGCCCGGCGACGACGTCATCCTCCCAACGCCGTGGTACTTCAACGCCGAGATGTGCCTGCGCCAGCTCGGCATCTCGCTCGTCCCGCTCCCCTGCACGGCCCCCTCGTTCCTCCCCTCGCCCGCCGCGTGCGCCGCCCTCGTCACCCCTCGCACCCGCGCCATCGTCCTCGTGTCGCCCAACAACCCGACCGGCGCCACGTACCCGCCCAAACTCGTGCGCGACTTTGCCGAGCTCGCGAGGCGCCACAAGCTCGCCCTCGTGCTCGACGAGACGTACCGCGACTTTGTCGTCGGCGGCCCGCCGCACGACCTCTTTGCCGACACCGAGTGGCGCGAGTACCTCGTGCACCTGTTCTCGTTCTCCAAGTGCGTCTCTCGGCCCTCTCGCTCGGCGGTTCTCGATCCGCCGACCCTGACCTTGTTCCTCCCCCCTCGCCCACAGGAGCTACGCCATCCCCGGGCACCGCCTCGGCGCCCTCGTCGCCTCGCCCTCGTTCCTCGCCCAGGTCTCCAAGCTCCTCGACTGCCTCCAGATCTGCCCGGCGCGCCCCGCCCAACGCGCCGTCGAGTGGGCCGTCGACGCGACGAGGGAGTGGCGCGAGGCGACAAGGGACGAGCTTGCGAGGCGGCAGGCGCTGTTCAGGGAGCTGCTGGGCGAGGTCGAGGGGTGGGAAGTCGAGACTGGCGGAGCCTACTTTGCCTACGTGCGTCGCTCTCTCTCTCCTCCTCTCCTCTCTCTCGTCGGCCCGACATTCCTCACTCACATCCTCCCTCCCTGACAGGTCAAGCACCCGTTCGCAGGCTCGTCGTCAGAGCTCGTCGCGTCACGCCTCGGCGAGCACGTCGGCGTCGTCGTCCTGCCCGGCACCTTCTTCTCGCCGCCGTTCGCCAACGTCGACGACGACCGGTACATCCGCTTCTGTGCGTCCTCGCTCCCTCCCTCCCTCTCTCTCGATCGAGCGCGCAGGACTGACGGCCCCGGTCTGAGCAGCGATCGCCAACGTCGACGAGCGCACGCTGCGCCTCGTGCCCGACCGCCTGCGCGAGCTCAACGCCCTGTGGCCGTCGCTCTCGTCGTAGGCGGCCGAGGCGTAAAGGACAACACGGCGCTCGAGTACAGGGCACAAAAGGGCTATCTACATCGACTCGCCGTCACCGCCGCCGCCGCCGTCCACCGGTCCTCTCTTCCCTCCCTCGCTCCCCCTCTCCCTCTCTCGAGCGCCTCACGCCCGAACCTGCGCCTCGTCGTACCCGGGCGGCGCCTCGTCAACCCCGACACCCGGCGGCGGCCCGCCCTGCGCCGCGCACCGCTCGTCGCGCTCGAGCTGCTCGGACTCGTCGGCGGCCGTCGCGACGCTCGCGGCGGCGAGGTCGGCGGGCGAGGGAACTGCTCCTGCGCCGGTGTGCGGCGAGGGAGGTGCGGGTGCGGGCGAGGAGGAGGAGGAGGAGAGCGAGGCGGGGGGGGCTGGGGGGGACGAGGTGGACGACGGTGGAGGGGGCTCGTACGCGGCTGGAGGTGCGGTGCAACGAGAGCGCTGTCAGCGAGCTCGTCCTGGATAACGTGGGCGGCGGCAGAGAGAGAGAGAGAGACTAGGGGACGCACGCAGTTGCTCGACCGGGGTGCCCCTCGTCGCCGACGACAGCTCGAGGCGCGCCTTGACCTCCTCGACGGCCGAGTAGAAGTCGGGTGCGCCGCCCTCTTTGAAGTAGAAGCGAACGAGGTGAGGACCCTGTGTGGGAGAGAGCGTCAGTGCGGGGACAGGAGTGGATTGGGGGGAGAGGAAGGGAGGGGGAAGAGGATGGCCGGGGCGCACCTCGAGCCCGCCGTTGCCGTCTCCTTCGAGGCACAGGGCCTCGTAGTAGTTTGCCGAGAACCAGGGCTGGACGAGGCGGCCGTCGACAAAGGCGCGCAGGGGGACCGAGAGCGATTCGAGCGTGGCGGGGCCGCTTGGGGCGGACGAGGTCGAGGGCCGTGGGGGAGGGAGGATGGATGCGCTGCCCGAGGCGATGGTGCTCTGCTGGTCGGCGTGCGAGGTGGTGGCGGTTGAGGTGGCCCCACTCGGGACGAGGTGACGACGAGCCGACGGAGTCGAGGTGGACGAGGGCGGGGCGACGTAGACGACGCGCTTTTGCGAGAGGTACAGAGTGCCGTGCTGGTGCTTGTAGTGGGTGTCGGTGGGCTTTGGCTCGAGGTTGAGCGGGCTGCCTGGCGGGTGCGGGAAGAGCGAGATGGCGACGGTGCCGGGCGACGACGAGAAGAGCCACTTCTCGTGGGGCAAAGGGACGGGCTTGCCCTGCGGGGTGAGCATGGCCCAGTTGAGCGCAGCCATGGCGCGTCGAGAGTAGTTGAGGCGGTGCAGGAGCGGAGGCGAGATGAGGCGGCGCTCGTCCTCATCGCACCTTGTGTCCTCGCTCTTCGTCACGGCCACGAGCACAGCCATGGGTCCGACCAGGCCCACGTACGAGTCAAACTCGGACACGTGCCGCTACACCGTCGACTTTCCTTCGCCCCACGACCACGGCCACCACCTGCGCTCGCTGTGCGCTCACCTCGTCGCCGTCGCGTCGAGCCTCACCGAGGGCTACATCTGGCACAACAAGCAGCCCGGCTTCACCCTCGACACGTCCCCCGTCAACTTTCACCAGCCCGCCACCTCGACCCACCACCACCACCTCGAAGGCTCGACCGATGTCACCGACGCCGTTGACGACGAGTGGCTCGTCGTGTGGATCCTCAAGCACCTCTCGCTCGCCCACACCGACGGCGTCATCTCGGTCGACGACGACGACGGCGAGTTCCTCTTGATCGAGGCCGCCGACTCGCTCCCGGCCTGGGTCACCCCGCAGAACGCCGCCAACCGCGTGTGGATCCACCAGGGCCGCCTCCACCTCGTCCCGCTCGACCACACGTCCCCCGTGCCCTTTGCCGACACCGCCGCCGAGCCCCTCAACCCCTCGTTCGACCCGGACGACGACGCCTTCCTCGACCGCGCTGCCGCCATCCTCCTCGTGCGCGACCCGAACGTCGACACGCTCGCGCCACCAGACGTCGAGGCTGCCGTGTGGGCCCGCATCGACGGGTGCGTCCACCCCTCCTCTCGTCCTTCAGAGCCCAACTGACCCTGGTCGGTCCGCAGGTACCCGGCCAAGATCAAGGAGCACCACCATCGCACGCTCGCCTACCTCCCGACCGACATTGCGCTCGCGCTCGCCGACGACCCGACCCTCATCGCCGAGGCGGTCGGCGCCTTTTACCAACGCGAGCCCGCCACTCTGCGGGTGCGTCGCCTCTTTCTCTCTCGCGCTCTCGACGAGCCTCGACATGACCCACGCTCCCTCCCTACAGGCCGTCAACACCATGTCGCGCTTCCCTCCTGCACCTCCTCTTCCCTCGTCCTCGTCCACCTCTTCTCCACCATCGACCGACGCCATGTCCGACTCGTCGCCTTCCCTCCCGCCGACCGTCCTCGTCCCGACCCTCCTCACGCGCCCGCTCTATTCGCAACTCGTCCTCCAGCGGTTCTACGCGCCCAAGGTGTTTGAGAAAGCCGGGTGGACGAGCGGCACGCTCGGCAAGGACGATGAGAGGCGGCGCAGCGTCGGAGTGAAGATTGTGCGCCTCACCTTTCCCTCTCTCTCTCTCTCGCGCGCGCTCCAAGTGCGCCAACACTGATGCCTCGTCGACTTTAACAGGCCTGCGGCTTCGAGATGCTGTACAAGCAGACGTCGCCGCTCCCTCGCCAATCCGCCTCGTCGTCGGCGGGCTCGGCCGACCTCGACGCGGTCGACACGGCGGCGCCAGCGTACCGCGCGTACCTCGACACGCTGCGCGCGCAGGGCTTCTTTGGCGAGGGCGAGAGCGAGGAGGTCGAGGGGTCGCAGCGTTGGAAGGAGCGCGAGAGAGAGGCGAGGAGGGGGTGGGTCCGTGCGAGGGAGAACCGGTGCGTCCCTCGCTTCTCTCTTCCTCAATCGCGGCCACGACCCTTGGCGAGCAGCATTTGACTGAGTCCATCATGCCCTGTATAGCTCGGAGCGCCCGTTCGCGCAGCGCGTCGACGAGGCCATCTCGCGCGCACGCGCCGCCCTTTCCTCCTCGACGTCCACCTCCACCGCCACCTCCCCTTCCTCGACGAGCACCCCTCTCCCGCTCTCGACCCGCATCGTCCACCCGGCGTCGCTCACGCCGCAAGCCGCGAGCGCGCTCGAGGACGCCGAGGACTGGATGGCGCTCGACGAGCAGGGGCTCGAGGAGATCCTCGCGACCAAAAGCAGTGCGAGGAGCGGAGGAGCGCAGCTCGGGGACAGCGACCTCGAGGACGAGTCGGACGAGGACGAGGACGACGAGGATGAGGCGGGAGTGGGGCGTGGGCAGGGCGACGGCATGGAAGGAGTCGAGGGCGGGTCGAGCTCCGGCGCCGGCGCGGGTGGGCCCAAGAGCGCTCGCGAGCGCGCCGAGGACCGCAAGGCGCGCAAGGTGGCCCGTCGGCTCGAGGACATGGCGGGCAAGGTCGAGGACTTTGTGCACGGCCGAGGTGCGGCGAGCGGGGCTTTGTTCGACGAGTACGCCTCGCTTTCTCTTTTCTCTTCCTCCGTCCTGCCGCTAGTGACAGGCTATTGACTCTCCTCGTCGTGCACCGACAGCGAGCGCGAGCTCGACGACTCGGGCGACTCGGACGCCGACGAGGCCATGCCCGAGCTGAGCGCCGAGGAGCGCGCCGCGCGCATGGAAAAGCTCGTCGCCGCCCTTCCCGCCGAGCAGTGGGGCCAGGCGACGGCGCCCGCTCCCGCCGCCGCTCCCGCCGCCGCCGCCGACTCGTCCGCCTCGGCGAGCGCGCTCGGTCCTCCGCCGCTCCAGCAGCAGCCGGGCCAGCAGCCCGAGCGCGAGCCTCGTGCGCGCAAGCTCGAGAAGGAGGTGTACGAGGGCGCGTCGGACCTGTCGGACGAGTCGGACTCGGAGAACGAGGCCATGCCCGAGGGCGAGGAGGGGCTCGGCGGCGACGAGGTCGACGAGGGCGAGGACGGGCCGAGCGTCGTCGACGAGGACGACCTGCTCGACCTCGGCGAGGAGATGGACGAGTTCCTCAAGTTTGCGACCGAGACGCTCGGCTTGACGCCGGCGCAGTACGAGAAGATCCTGTCGGACCGCAGGGGCCGAGGAGGTGCGCCCTCTCTCTCTCTCTCTCCTCCTCTCGTACGTGTTCATCGTGCGACAGTCCTGACCCTCGTGCTCTTTCCGCAGCGTTCGTGCCCGGGCCCGCCAAGGAGAAGAAGACCAACGTCCTCCCGTCGACCAAGAAGGCCTCGTCCACCACCTCCTCCTCCTCCACTGCTCCCGCCAAGCCCTCTCCCGCCGCCGCCACCGCCGCCGGCAACCCTCCTCCCGCCCGTGAGCCGTTGCGCAACCCCAACTTGACCGATTTTGACGCCCTCATGGAGCAGATGGAGACCGAGTTGGCGCGCTCCAAGGGCGCTCGGCCCGCCACCGCCGCCGCCGCCGCCACCGAGAGCAACGACGACGGTCCGGCGCCGACGGGCAAGTACGCGTCGCGTCAGAGCGGGCGGCGCGAACCTCACCGCGTCGTCGTCGACTCGCTGTCCGACTCGGACGAGGATGACGGCGACGGCGACGACCTGTCGGCCATGGACGCCGAGCTCGCGTCGCTCCTGCAAGGCGTGAGCGGCGACGCGGCCGGGACCGACGCGCCGATGGACTACAACCTCGTCAAGAACTTTCTCGAGTCGTTCCAGAGCCAGGGAGGGTTTGCCGGTCCGGCGGGCACGCTCGCCGGCAGGTTGGGCTTCCCGCTCCCGAGGGACGCGCCGGGCGAGGGCGAGGGCGGCAGCAGGTAGCTGTAGCGCGTGTGCGAGAGAGGGCGCGAGCGGTGCAACGTCGACTTGCGCGCTGCCTTTCGTCGCCTCGTCCCTTTCGCTCGCTCAAGCGCATCTCGCAGAGACTGATCTCGAGAGTGAGAGGGAGAGTGAGAGCGAGAACCTGCTGTACATTGCGCAACGGCAGAGAGCGAGGGGGTATCCAGCAGAGGGAAAGAGCTACAACAAGGTCCCGACGACGACGACGACGACCAAACGACACAGCCTCAGACCGTGCGAGCGCCCGACAAACGAGGCTCACCGCGGCTGCGGCTTGGGCGAGGGCGACATGATGGCGATGGCGGACGAGGCGGCGGCGGCGAGCGGCGCAGCTTGGGGCGTCGGCGTCGACGACATGTTGATCGGGTAGTGGACGGCGCCATTGTACTCCCTCGGGTACGCCGGGTTGCCCGGCGTCGACGACGAGTTGAGGCCGTACAGGACGCCCTGCGAGAGACGCAAGAGGTTGTCAGAAAGGCCGAGAGGGGAGGTTCGAGGGAGGGGGCCGAGCGCACCATGAACTTGGTGTCGATGCTCGACTCGAAGAATTTGTCGCGCATCTTGAAGAACGTTGCGGCCGTCAGCAGGCTGTCCGAGCCCGCCTGGTGTTGCGGGCCTATCCGTGCGACCTGTTGCGGGGCGAGGACCCGGTGAGCTCGATCGGGATGCTGGGACGAGGGACGGGGCGAGGAGAGGAGGGACGCACGCCAAGGTCATCTGCCACCTCCTGCAGGCCGCCCTTGAGCGTCTTGCAGCTCTTCATCAGGTACTGCGGGAGGAGAGGAGGCAGCGGCGAGGTCAGAGACGGACGAGGGCGCGAAAAGGAGGGACGAGGAGAGAGAGAGAACAAGGGCTCACCTTGATGTCCCAGATGCAGGGGAACCAGATGCGCAACAGCTCGAAGAACTCGGTCTCGCTTGGCGGCAGCGGCGAGCACGACACGAGCTTGAGGAGGTACCCAAAATCGTACCCGCTGTGCGACACACCCACGCTTGAGTCAGTGCCCACCCCTGACAACGGGAGACGCGACCGACAGAGGAGACATGTGGACGCACCTGTGGAACGACACCCACTGAACGTCGTCGAGGAGGACGAGGCCCGACGAGATGAGGAGCTCGCCAAAGTGCTCGACGTCGATGCCGTACTCCTCGTGCCGCTTGAAGTTGATGCCCGACTTGGTGAGGAGCTCGATCGACTCGGGCGCGTACATGTCGTCGCTGCGGGCGTGCGTGCGAGAGGGTCAGTGACGGGGCTCGGGACGGAGAGAGAGAGACAGAGAGAGGGTGCGCACTTGATGCTGAACTGGAAGTTGAACTGCCAGGTGCAGACGCCCGGCGCGAGCTCGCCGTTCTCGTCGCACAGGGTGATGCCGAGCTGGATGATGCGCAGCAGGTCGACGTTGCACCGCAGCGTCTGGTAGTGGTAGTCGCTCGACCCGCGGAACGACCCGATCGGGCGAGCGACGACGCCGGGGAACTCGGTGTCCTGCACGACGGGGTGGGGGAGTCAACGCGAGGCTCTTGGGCGAGCACCGCTGCTGCGCCCGCTGAGGCGGGCGGGCGGCGGGCGAGGATGGGGAGGGAGAGAAGAGAGAGAGGGCGCCGGACCATGGCGACGAACGGGTACTTCTCGATGGCCGCTCGAAGATAGGACATCTCCTCGTCGAGGTTGTTGGCCCACACCTCCTTGATACGCTCTGCCATGGCTGACAAGACGAGAGGTCGGGCGGAGTGAGGGGGAGGAGGGGGAAAGTGGATGGGCGGCCTCGCTGAGGGGGTGGCGGGTGGTGCTCGAGCTGCAATGAGGCATAAGGGTCAGTTTCGGCTCCTCAGCACGGTCACCGGTGGGCTGACAGAGGAGGCGTGGGTGGGTGTGAGGGGTCGAGGAGATGAGGGGCGAGGGAGGACGGCGACTGGGCTCTGTGCGAGTGTGCGCGGGCTGGATCCACTCACAGACAGGTGTACGCGCTAGCCTGCTAGCTGTCGAGCTGCCCTGGCGAGTTGTCGAGGTGGCGAGACGACGAGCACCTCGCCAACACGGCGGCACCGAGTCCGACTCTGTCAACCTCTCGCCGTAATGCGCACATTAGCTCGTCGAGTATACGACATGGTCACAGAGCGACTCAGCGACACAGAATCGGCGTGAGAGGCGGTTGATCCCTCGGCTCGCTCGAGGTCTCTCGACGATAGCGGCGCTCACGGTGCGACGCGAATGCGGTCAGTCTAACTTGCACGCCGACCTCTACTGTATCTCCTCCTCTACTCCCGCCTGCCCTGCGGCGCCGCCGGGACTGGGGACGAGTCCGGCCCGCGCCCGAGCACCTCGACGACGGCACGTTTAAACGCCTTCCACGGCGTGTCCTTCTTGTCCTCGGCCTGCTCGCCGCCCATCATGTCGGCCGTGAGCGGGTTGATGTCGCCCGGGTCCGACAGGACGATGCCGCCGGACGAGGCCGACCCGAGGCCGGCGTCGAGTCGCCGCTGGAGCTCGCCGGCGATTTTGGGCGCGCACGACGAGATGGCGGCGTCGAGCTCGGCGCGGAGGGTGAGGAGTGGTCGGCGAACCTGTGTGAGGGGAGGCGAGGTCAGTCGAGGGCGCAGAAGGGACGCAAGGTGGACGAGCCGCGAGAGAGAAGGGAGCTCACATGGTACGGCGCGATGACGTTGTACTTGCGGATCGTCTCGTTGAGGGCGCGCACCGACGCCTCGTGGTACCCTCGCTCCTTGGCCTCCCAGTGCGGGTCGGTCCAGCCGTCGAGAATCTCGCGCACGACGGCGCGCGTCAGGCCCTCGCTCGCGCGGATGCGGACGGCGCGGCGGGTCCACGTGTCGCTCAGGTCGCGGCGGAACTGGTCAAGGGCGCCCTCGAGCTCTGTTGAACGAGGGGACAAAGGTCAGTCGTCTGACGAGGCGGCACGACGAGAGAGAGAGAGGCTCGAGGACGCACCCTTCTGCATCTCGATCCAGGGCGGCGCCGCCTCCTGCTCCTTGAGGATGCGGTTCATCAGGAACTCGGTGCGCGAGATGAACGGGTTGCTCTCGGCGGCGTCCTTGGGCATGGGCTTGCCGCGACCTGCTCGCGAGGGGGACGAGCGTCGGTCAGGCTCAGGGCTGACAGGCAGGGAGGGAGAGTGGGGGCGCACCTTTGACGTTGTTGAAGACGCCGTCTCGCCGCGCCTGCTTGATCTTCTCCTCGATGAAGCCCTCGAAGACACGCATGTTGCCCGACTCGCCCTCGCCGCCGACCTCGCCGTACTCGTGCACGGGCACCTCGACACCTCGCGCACCGACCGGCCCGCCGTCGCCGCCGGCCCTGCCGCCACGCCCGGGCCGCACGCCGCCGCGATAGTCGAGCGTGCGCTCGTATGCGCTCGCGAGGCGCTCCTGCTTGAGGGCCGACGGGCGCGACGACAGGGTGGCGTCCTTGCGGGCCGTCGCGAGGAGCGCCTTCTTGGCCGAGATGCTGGGTCCGCCGAGTGGCGGACCCGACGTGCGGTAGCCGGGCAGGGGCTGGTAGTGGTCGGGCGGCTTGAAGCTGATGTCCCACGGGTTGACCGTCGTCGAGCGGAGCGTGCTGCCGTTGGACGAGGCTGACGGCGCGTCGGCGGCGTCGGCGGCGGTCGAGGGCGACGACGAGGTGTCGAAGGCTTGAGCGGGTAGAGGTGCGGGCTTCGGGATCGGCTTCTGGTAGCCCTGCGAGAGCGGTAAAGAAGGCTGGGTCAGCTCGCTGGCGACGAGGGCGAGGGGGACCACCCAGACGGGACCGAGGCAAGGGAGAGGGTGCGCACCTTGATGCGAAGAGGTTTGTACTGGTCCTCGAGGATGCGCTTGAGCATGCGCTCTCGCGGCTCGTCGCCAGTCCAGGCGTCCGGGTCGGGGACGATGCGCTCCTTGGGCTTGCCGGCGAGGGCGGCGGCAGCCTCCTCCTCGGCGGCCTGCGCCGCGATGAAGGCTGCGGCCGAGCGCTGTCGGCCCTTGTCGGCGGAAGAGTCGGGGCGAGAGTCGGGAGGTGGGGCGGCCGCCGGGGTCGAGGTGCGAGAAGTGGCGCGAGTGGTGGTCGTCGACAGCGCTCGATAGGTGCGGCGAGCGGCCGCCGCGCCGTGTAGAGCTCGTGGCGACATATTGTGCGCCTCGATCAGGCGCAGGGGTCGAGCGAGAACGAGGTGGAGGTGTGGCGAGATGGCGAAGGGCGGCGGGCGAGGCGAGACGTCGACGCGGTGCTCGCTCGGCTGCGGCGGTGCACTGGTTGGTCGAGCGACTTGTGGGTGGGTGGCCGGGCGATCAGGCGGGCTCGAGGGTGCTGTGAGGACGAGAGTGAGCGCGAGCCGGAGCGAGGAGGCGGTGCGCAGCTCAAGTCTCGCCTCGCACGTCTCGAGCGAGGCTGAGGTCTGGCGCAGCAGTGTACGAAGCTATAACGAGTGGCTCAAACCACACGAATGTCCACCAAGCGAGCTGTACGGTGCGCTGTGCTGCTCGCCACAAGTCGGCGCGTCTTCGACGCGCCAACGCGCTCGCTCTCCTCCGACACTCTCGCTCGTCAGCTACGCCAAAGCCACCATGGCCGCTCTAGCCGAGCTCAACCGCCCGCCACCCTTCCACCGCCCCCCGCCGCCGGGCTCCAAGCGCTCCGCCTTCGCCTCGGCTCCTCCTCCGCCCGACGACAACGACGACGACGACTGGGCCGCACTCGAAGCCGCCGCCGAGGCCGACGCTGCAGAGCGCGCAGCCCATCTGCTGGACGACGAGGGCGAGGACGTCGACATGGACGTCCTGCGCGAAATCGAGGCCCAGGAGCGCGAGGCCAGCCGCGACGCGGGCGCCATCTCGCTCGCCAAGGGCGCTACCGGCGTCCGGTCGTCCTCCACCACCACGTCAACCGCACCTGTCGGCGACCGCAAGGGCAAGAGCCGCATGCTCCTCGAGGAGGACGAAGACTTCGGCGCGTTTGGCGAGGACGGCGGCGTGGGCGACGACTTCTCGAGCCGACGTGCGTCCCCTGTTCCCTCTCAGTCTCTTGTCGGTTCATGACTGACGACGACGAACGAGCAGCACAAGCACCCCGGCCAGCAGCGCTCGCCAACGCCGCCACGCACCTGCACGACTACACCTCGCGGTTCGGCTCCGTCTCGGCCCTCAACCTGTCGACCGTCCCGCCGGGCTACATCGAGGCGGCACCCGTCCAGGCGACGACGCTCGACGGCAAGAAGATCGTGTTCAAGCGGCGCAAGAAGCTCGAGAGCTGGCAGGCGACGGGCGCGACCCAGGTGCGCCCCCTCTCGCTCTCCCTACCTCGCGAACGCTCTGCCGCACGAGTGGCACACGCTTACACCCTGCGTCCTCGGTCCTACGTGTGCGCAGAAGCAGGAGTCGGCGGCCCTCGAGCAGCTCGCGGCCAGCATGCTCGCCGAGCCCTACGTCGACATCCTGCGCAGCATCGAGCAGGATGCCGTCATCGCCAAGAAGCAGCAGCAAGCCGACGCGTACGTCCTGCTCTCTCTCTCTTCCTGTCGACCTCGCGACGATGCGCCCGTCCTGCCGCAGGCTCTCGGGTCGCAAAGCTCGAGAGCGCGCACTGACCCTCGCCATCTTGACTCTTCCCGCAGGGCCAACCCGATCATCAACACTCGTGCAGCAGCAGTCGTCGAGACCGAGCTGTGGACCGATCGGTACCGGCCCAAGCGTTTCGTCGACTTGCTCGGTGACGAGGTGCGCTCAGACCTTCCCTCTTCCTCCTCCCCCTTCTTCGCTTCGCGACCTCCACGCCTCGAGCCTTTAGGCCGCCGTCGCGCAAGTCTCGACATTGACTCTTTTCCTCGCTCTTACAGCGCGTCCACCGCACCGCCCTGCTCTGGCTCAAGGAGTGGGACCTGTGCGTCTTCAAGGGCACGAGCAAGGCGAACGCCGCCGCCGAGCTCAAGCGCGACCGGCGCAACAAGCGCGCGAGGGAGGGCGAGAAGGGCGGGTTCGGCGGCGGTGCTGGGGCAGCCGGCGGCGGCGGCGAGGGGTTCGAGGAGGCCGTGCGTCGAGACGGTCCTGCTCGCGCCCTCTCTCCCACGTACTGACTCGTCTCTCTCGACGCGTAGGCACCCGATCCTTATGGTCGTCCTCAAGAGAAGGTACCGCGTCGTCCACCTTGTCGACGCGCTCCCTGTCTTCCCGCCGAAACTGACTCGCCTTTCCCTCCTCCCTCTCTCTCTCGGCCTCCCTCCCCTCACAGGTCCTCCTCCTCTCGGGCCCTCCAGATATAAGGCTTTTAAAGCTTTTAAGGTTTCACCGCCAAGCTGGGTACCAGGTCCTCGAGATTAACGCGTCGGACGAGCGCACGGGCGGCATCGTCGAGCACCGCATCCGCAACGCGCTCGACTCGCAGGCGCTCACTGTGGGCGTGCCCGAGGGCAAGGGCAAGGGGCGCGAGAGGGAGAGGGAGGATGGCAGGACGAGGCCGACGTGCGTCATCATCGACGAGGTCGACGGCGCGGCGGCGGGAGGAGACTCGGTGCGTCCTCTGCCCTCTGCCTCTCTCCTCGCCTTCCTCCCTGGCGCCTCGTCAGGCGAGCGCTCGTCGTGTAGCCGGGGACTGACGCTCTCCTCGTCGCGCAGAGCTTCGTCAAGATGCTCGTCAAGCTCGTCACCGATGGCAGCTCTCTCAAGCGCTCGAGTGCGTCCTCGCCGTTCCCCGACTCTTCCCCTCGACCGGCCATAAGGTACTGACTCACGGCCGGTACCGTCGACCCGCAGAGAAGGGCAAGAGCAAGCATCAGCGCCCGCTGCTTCGACCGATCATCTGCATCTGCAACGACCTGTGCGTCCCTCGTCCCCTTTTCCTGTGACTCGGCCGCCCTGCCTTAGCCCTGACCTTTCGTACTGCAGCTACGCGCCGACTTTGCGTCCTCTGCGGCCTCTCGCCAAGATCTTCCGCTTCTCGCCGCCGACAACGGCCATGCTCACCAAGCGCCTGCGCACTATCTGCGACTCGGAGGAGCTCTCGACCGAGAGCAAGCACCTATCGTTACTCGTCGACACGGCCGAGGGCGACTTGCGCAGCTGCCTCAACACTCTGCAGGCGCGTCTGCCCTTCTCGTCATCCCCCTCTCCCTCGGCGTCCGGTCCCTGACGGCCTCGTCCTCTTCCTGCTCGTCCACAGTTCATCAAGCGCAACGGCTCGGTCGTCGACGAGGCCGCCATCCGCAACTCGTCGCTCGGCAAGAAGGACACGGGCACGTCGGCGAGCCAGGTCCTCGACCGGCTCTTCAAGAAGCCGCAGCGCAAGCGTGGACTGCAGGCCGGCTCCGGCATCGGCTCGGACGAGCGCTACATGACGCGCATCGTCACCGACGTCCAGACGAGCGGCGAGTACGAGAAGATCGCCCAGGGTCCGTCCTCTCTTCCTCCTCCTCGACCGGTCCATCCTCGCCCAGTCGGTCGTAGCCGCTCACTAAGCCTTCTATCGTCCCGCAGGCTGCTTCGAGAACTACCTGTCGGCGACTGGCGTCAACAACGAGGCGTTCCCGCGCATCAGCGACGCGCTCGACTGGATCCACCTGTACGACCGCATCGACAGCCGGCTGCGCGCCGAGCGCGAGTACGAGCTGCTCGCCTACGTGCCCTTCTCGTTCGTCGCGTGGTACCCGCTGTTCAGCAGCCAGACGCCCAAGCACGTCGAGCTGCCCAAGACCGACTACGAGGTGCGTCCTCGTCCTTCCGTCCTTTCTCTCTCTCCCTTCCTGACTCTGACTCTCCTGTCAATTCCAGATGTACCTGCAACGTACTGCGCACCAGGAGGTCGCCGAGGCGTTCACGCAGAACATGCCGCACCACCTCAAGACGCTCTTCACGGGGACCAACGTCGTCGCCGAGCTCCTTCCGCTCCTCAATCGCATCGTCGCGCCCGACCTCAAGCCTGTGCGTCCGGCTTCCTCTTCTTCCATTCTCTCGTCCCGCCTGTCTCGCAGCCGGCGCGTCAAGCTCTCGTCGAGCCGAGACTCACCCCCCTTGTCCCCCTCCTAGGTCAACAGCCAGGTCGTCAAGAACGACGAGCGCGCCCGCCTGTTGCGCCTCGTCAACACGATGATCACGACCAAGCTCGCGTTCGTCATGGACAAGAGCGAGGACGGCCAGCTCTCGTTCAAGCTCGACCCGTACGTCCCTCGCGGTTTCTCGAGCGCCATCGTTGCCGCCCATCCTGACCTCTTCCCTCCTTTCCTTCCTCCTTATCTCGAGCAGGCCCATCGACGTGTTTGTGCACTACGAGGGCAAGCGGCCGACCGACATCGCGCCTGGCCGTTTCGCCGTGCGCCAAATGATCAACCGCGAGGTGCGCTCGAGCCCTCTCTCTCCCTCATGCGCCTTCCCCTCGTTCTCGCTTGACCCTGCGCGCCTTCACAGATCGACCAGGAGCTCCTGCGTCGCGGCGACGGCAGCAAGGCGGGCACCAAGAGCGCGACCGAGATCCTCGACGCCTACAAAGCGTCCGTCTCGCCCTCTCTCCTGTCCCCTCGCCCGCCACGGTCCCTGACTCTCGATCTCGCTCTCGCATACAGGGATCCCGCAAAGGCTGCTGTGGCGCCTGGGTCGACCAAGCAGGCCGTCGACTTCTTCGGGCGCGCCATCCTCGCGAGCGCCGCCGTCTTCGAGAATACCGGTGCGTCAAGCCGCCCTCTCTCTTTTCCTCCCTCTCGCCGCACCGAGACTTACTCGACACTCTCGCAGTGCATGCCGACGGTACCTCTCTCGCCCCGCCGCAGCCCAAGCGCGTCCGCCAAGCCCACTACCGCTTCCACGAGGGCTTCTCGAATGCCGTCCGTGTCACGAAGCGCCTGTCCGATTTTCTTGCCTAGCTCTCGTTGTAGATCCTCCTCGTTGTTGTGCCTGTAACTTGGGTCCTTCGAGACGTTTCATGAGCGAGCGCGAGCGAGCGAGAGGTGCGAGAAGTGCTTTCTTCGCGACTGCCGGGCCGCCACGACGTCCTTTCGGCTCGAGAAAGCAGCCACGTGCGCAGCACACTCAGCTCGAGATGCTGGGCAATGCAAGCTGGCATAAGTCGAGCGACAGCGGCGAGGAGAGCGAGCAGAAGGCGAAACAAGTGCGTGTGGCGTGCGTTTACAAAGTTGACCTTTCCTTTGTCGAACCGCCTCTGTGGCTCTTCTCGGCCGAGTCATCTTTGTGCACGGGCACGCGAGGTAGTCAGTGAGGTTAACAACCGAGACGCTTCCTATTGCTTATTGCAAACTAAAATCCACAACCGTGCGTCGAGCTTAGTCTCGTTCGCCAATCTCTTGCTATGATGCCATTCCTTCGAGGATCGCTTTTTGCCAGTCACTGCCGCCGCGCTCTTCTCTTTTGCCGACTCGCGTAGACGAGCCCTGTCGTCGACTCGGTAGCCTGACCGTTGAGCGAAGGACCTGTTCCGAGCGGCGTCGGGCCGCTCCTCCTCCTCAGAGAGCTCTCGAGGCTGCTCTCGCTGCTCTCTATGGAAGCGCAAGAGGGACAGATAGGTGCAGAGCGAGTGATGCTACAAAAGACAAGAGAGAAGACCGAGGACGAGACAGACGACGAGGCGACGACGATCCAGCGCGCGCATTCTAGGCGAGGAGCCCGTGCCGCCTGCACAGCTCGCGCAGCTGCGCGTTCTCCTCCTCGACGCGCATCTTGCCCTCGAGGTCGGCCTGGACGGATCGGCGGTACGCGCGCAGGTCGTGCTCGGCGCGGAACTGGGCCGACTTGGACGCTCGGACCTGGTTGGTGAGGTCGACGTACTCGCCCGTCGCGGTCGGCTCGGCTTGTGCAGCGAGGGTGACTGCAATTTGTGGAAGGCAGACCGTGAGTACGTCGCTCGCAGGGCGAGAGAGAGAGGGGAAAAGAGAGGGACGCACCCTCCTCGAGCGCCAGATTGAAGTCCTGGAGGCGGGCAAGGGGGTCAGGACCGACGTCGAGGAATGCTAGACCGATGAGGACGCACCTCGAGAAGCGTGTTAGCCTCGCCGCAGATGTCGCCGTAGGCTTGACGCAGGTTGGCGATCTCGGTGTGAGCCGACGCGAGCGCCGACTCGAGGGTCGCCTTGGCCTCGAGCGCCAGCTTGGACGCGTTGACCTCGTCGTGCATCTGCGTAGGCAAGGTATCAGGTGGGTGCCGGCGAAGCACGAAGAAGGAGATGCAGGAGAAAGGCGAGGCGGACCTTTTTGACCTCGTCCCTGCTCTCGACGAGCTCGGCGGCGAGCAGATCGCGCTCTTGCTCGAGCATGGCGACCTCGAGGGCGTTCCCGCCGCCGTCGAGCGGCGAGCGAGGCTTCGAGGCGGCAGTTGCAGCGGCGGCCTCGGCATCGTCGACGAGCTCGGCGAGCTTGCGGGTCCACTCGGCGAGGACGTGCTTGTCGAGGTGACGAGCGCGAGGTCGAGTTTCCGAGACGGGCGTGAAGCTCTTGGTGGCGCTCGAGAGGCGGGTCTGCGGCGACGAGAAGGCGGACTCGGAGCCGAAGATCGTCTTGCCCTGCGAGCGCAAGAGGAGGTCAGGGTGGGTAATGGGTGGAGGAGGAGACGGCGAGGAGGACGTACAAAGACGTTGCGGGTCTGCGGCGAGCGCGTCAAGGCCGTGGGCGAAACAAAGTGGTCGTTCTCCTTGTCGGCGGCGACCTCGCGAGCGAGCTTGAGGCGCATGTCGTCGACGTGCTTGCGAAGGCGGTGGAACGGCTGCTGGTCGAGCTGCGCGACGACGATGATCAATTTCTGCGGAACAGTGACAGAGTGACGAGCGAGAGGGGACGCACATCTGCCATTGCTGCATCCTCGAGCAGGCTTGCCGCGGTTGGCGGTGCGGGCGACGAGAACACGTCGGGCGAGTCGACGTCGCGAGGTGGCGTTGCCGGGCCGCGCACCGTTGATGCGCCGCTCGCGACGCGTCGACTGGTCGGACGGGTCCGGTTGAGGACGCTCGAGGACGACGACACGAGGCGCTGCTGGAGGAGCGAGCCACCCGACGACTTGCGGGCGCTGCCGAACAGGTCGGGCTGCAGCGGCGGCGGCGCACGAGGCCCTGCGCTCGACCCGGCGAGGGAGGCGACCTTCTTGGCGGGCGTAGGGCGAGGTGACGCCTCGACGAGCGGCCGAGGGCGCTTCGAGGCGGCGCTGGTCGAGCTGGCCTGCGACTCGAAGCTGACGTCGTCGGTCTCGGAATACGACGGCGAGGAGCGGTACGTCGCCGTCGACTGGTCCGACACGTGCGGTTGCCGGAGCGGCGTTGGCGAGCGCTCGCGAGCGAACGGGAGGTGGGCCGGCGACGAGCCGTCGAGGTTGCGGAGCGCGACCGGCGACCGCATGTCGCGAGGACCGATCATGCGGCGACGAGACGAGCTGCGCTCGGGTACGCGATACGTCATGGGCGACGTGTCGGGCGCCTCGAGGTCGAGGAGGGGACGCCTCGGCGAGTCGAAGATGGCGTCCATCGGCGCGTCGTCCTCGGGGGCGTCCTCGAGCGCCTCGGCGGGCGCACTTGATGCAGCGGTCGTGGTCGGTGTCGGCTCGACGTGCTCGGCGGATATGGGCGGGGGAAGGGACATGGATCGGCGAGGGCGGTTGCGGGACCGAGTGGAAAGAGCTGTGGGCGAGGCACGTCAGGTCGCGCTTCGGAGATAGAGTAAGAGGCGGTACAGGCTCACGTTCAACGGGCGGTGCGCTGCCGAGCTCGGCGAGGCCGTCGTACGGGCCTGAGTCGCTCTGCCGCAGCAGCGTGGCGACCGAGTCGGTCGAACGTGTTGCCGACTGCGACGCGTACAGGTTGGGGGCCGACTTCTTGCTGAGCGGACGCCGGTGCGACTGCGAGAGCGACGTCTGAGGCGAGGTTGGCGTCGAGAAGCGCGGCGTGTCGACCGTCGTCGTCGCCGAGCTTGAGCCGCGACTGGTCGTCGAGTTGCCCCGCTTGAGGCCGCCGCCGCTCGTGAAGAGGTCGACGACGCTGAGGAGGGCCGAGCGAGGGCGACTGCGGCTGAGGTCCGAGATGGGGCGCAGAGTAGGGAACGAGAAGAGGCCGTAACTCGTGCCTGCAGGTGTAGACGATTCAGTCGGGGCGGTGGTGCAGGAGAGGCTAAAGAGGGACGCACCGAGCTCGACGATGGCGGGAGGGATGCGGTTCATGGCGATGTTCTCGGCGGTGCCGCTGACGGCGTCCTTGCTCTTGACCTCGAAGGAGCACGTGCTCGAGCCGTGGAGCGGCGTAACGCGGACCAAGACGTTGGGCCGCAGCCCGGGCGCCGACAGCGATGGCGCTCGCCGGTCCTCGACGAGATGCATCGCGATCTTGCCCTGCGTGGGAAAGAAAGGTAAGGCCCCGAGCGGGAGGAGAGGGAGGACGTAAGGACGAGCGGGACGCACCTTCTGGTTCCCTCGCAATCCCTCGTACGCCCTCGTATCCCACAGCGCCCAGTACACCTCGCTCGCGTCCGTCTCGCTCGCGCTCAGCCGACCCTTGTACCCCGCCCTCGCCCCGTCCTTGAGCTTCTGCTGCAGGACCGCGTCGCCGAAGCTGGCGAGGAACCGCTCCTTCTCCCGCCCGCGCTGCTCGCTCGCGTACGTCTCGGCGACGACGTACCGCCGTGAGGGTCGACCGTTCCACCGCGACGTCTGGTCGACGGGCGGGTCGTCGAGGAGCAGGCCGAGCTCGTGGATGGCCTCGCTCGAGCCGCCCGAGCCGCTCGAGCCGAGGTCGACGGCGACGACCTCGGCGAGGTTGAGCAGACCGCGGTAGGCGAGGACGCCCTTGCGCAGGCGCTTGGGCGACCCGAGAAGGCTCGCCTCGGACGAGCTCAGGTGCGACGTCTCGTACAGCTGGACGAGGCGGTCGAGGTCGTCGAGCCCGGCCTGCGCCTTGCCCGTGCGGCTCCCTCTCGGACGCTTGGTGATGAGGAGGCGATCCGAGAAGAGCCACAGGGTGCAGCGCAGCGTCTCGGTCGTCGTGCGCGGGTCCGACACCTCGAACACCTCGTCGACGTCGATGGCGGCGACAAAGTGGCGGTCGAACCCGACGAGGGCGCCCGGCAGACCATCGACGGCCTCGCCAAGAGCCCAGAAGACGGCGGCGCGCTTGGTCGCGTCGTCGACCTCCATCGAGCAGACGGTGCCCAGGAGGTCGATGGCGGCCCGGAGCGGGTCGACGTTCGGGTCCTCCTGCGGCAGCGACGCGACGATGGCTGCGAGGAGGAGAGAGACGAGTGAGTCCTCTATCGCGAGTAGACGCGGCGGGAAGGGCGAGGAAGAGGACGCACGGTCGAGCATGAGGCGGTACCGAGCGATGCGCTGATGCGGCTCGGCGAGGAACTCCTTGAACCCGCCGCTCGTCTGCGCCATCTCGCGGCTGACGATCTGGGTGCGCTCGATGAACTCGCGGAACGACGAGTTGGACCGGTCGAGCTCGCTGCGGATCATCTCGACCGCCCGGACGTTGGACAGCCAGATCTTGTACGGGTTCTGCATGCGCTCGATCTGCGAGACGGGGTCGCTCAGTCAGTACTTGACCGCACAAAAAAGAAGAACGAGAGAGGGGGACGCACGTGGTGCAGCACAATCGCGCCGAACCCGGTCGGCAAGCTCGCCTTGTCGCGCTGTGACCGCCCGACGACGTCTCGCAGGTCGGCCTCGAATGCGGCAGCGAGCGGGACGAGCTCGTCGATGTTGACGAACAAGTGGTTGGCCTCGAACAGCGGCACGATGGCGGTCGAGCGGCTCTTGGCGAACTCGCGCAAGGGTGCGGCGTAGTCCTGCGAGGGCGGAAGGTAGGGTCAGGCAGGGGCTCGACCGCAAACGGGCTTTCAGTGCCGGACGCTCACCCTCTGCAGGCTCGAGATCTTGCGCAGGTACGACTCCTCGGTCGCCCACAGCTCGTGCAGGCTCTGTCGGACGCGGTCGTGGTCGATCTTGCCGGACTTGGCGGGCGTTGCCGGGCGCGATGGTCGGCGGTCGGCCGTGTCGGACCGTCTTGCGTGCACGAAAGTGCCGAGCGTATTGAGGAAGGCGCCTGCTGGACCTGTGGTCACGAGGACAAGGTGTCAGTTTCGGGCTTGAGGCGGGCAGAGAGGGAGGAGGGTCGCCAGACGCACCGACAGGATAGACCACCTCGCCGTCTTCGCCGAGCTCCAGGTCATCGACAACGACGTCGCAGAAGACGGCGCGCCGCCTACCGCCACTGGAAGTTGCGCTCGCGCTCGACGCGAAGCCGACATCGCCCAGGGAGCGGCTGCGGCCGTGGCTCACACCGAGCTGCTGCTGCTGGCGACGGAGCGACCCGGTACCGATCGGCTGGCGGTACGAGCGCGACAGGCTCGGGCTGAGGCTTGTTGACGGGCCTGCTGAGGTGGGCGGGGGAGCAGCGGGCGAGGTGAGGGTGTTGGCGCGAGGACGGGGCTTGCTGGATGAGAGGGACGAGGTCGAGGGTCGCGAGGAGGTGAACATGTTGGCAGTGGTGCTGCTCTGGCCCTTTGCCCGGCTTGTCGTGGGGAGGACGGCGAGGGCGAGAAGGTGGACGGCGAGGCGATGTTGAGGGACGTCAAGCGGCGCGAGGACAGCGCAGTCGGGGTGGGCGCGGCTCTGTGCGGGCTCGTAGTAGCCACTGCTCACTCGCTGGTGGTGGTCGAGCGACGTGAGGGGCGTGGTGAGGGAGAAGCTCCCCTCCTCTCCTCGTCGCGAGCCTCGACCCCGGATTTCTCAAGTCCGCAGCGCGATGAGCCGTGTCGACTTGGTTCATCCTCTCGCAAGCTCTCGAGCTCTCGCGGCGTGCGATAGAAAGGTAGCGATGCATCTGCCAGTGTCTACGTCTCGCTCAGTCGTCCGAACTCGACGAGTCCTTCTCCTCGTCGCGGTACCTCCTCCTTCCTCGCCAGCTCCTCCTGCCACGTCTGCGCCGGTGGTCGTCAGACGACGAGCCCGAGCTGTCGCTGCTCGAGACGCGCCGGTGGACACCGCGCGAGCGCCTTCGACTCGCGCTTGCCGACGCCGTCGACAGGTTCCGGTGAGCGAGAAAGATCACGACGCCTGCGACGACGACGAGTGCGACCGCGCCGCCCGCAAAGAGCAGGAACTCCTTGTCGTTCGGCGACGAGGACGTGTCGCCCGACCCGCTGCTCGACGACGACGACGACGAGCCAGACCCGACGCCGCTCGAGCCCGTCGAGCCGGCTCCGCCTTCGACGCCTGCGCCGCCTGTCGAGGCGCCGCCGCCGGTTTGAGCTGCACCTGCCGCTCCCGACGTGGTACTGCCGGCGCCAGTAGCGCCGGCCGAGCCCGTGCCGCCGGACGACGTCGACTTGGCGTCGCCCGCCGCGTCCGACTTGCCGCCCGTCGCGCCTGCTGCCGCCGAGCCCGAGGACGAGAGCTCAGAGCTTGATGCGCCGGCGGAGCCAGCAGCTGCGCCGCCGGAAGGTTTTGCCTGCGCGAGAATCGGAAAGCGAGGTTAGCCACGTGTCGGTCGAGGAGGACGATGCGAGAGAAAGGGAGACGCACATCGCTTGGCCCGTCTCCCGACCCAGTGACCGTCATCTGCTTGTCGTTGTCCCAGTCGGGGCAGTCGGGCGCGTTCGAGGCCGAGCTGGCGTCGAACCCGGACCCGTAGATGACCTGGTCGCCCGGTGCGGGAAAGACGACGGGCTCCTCGGCGATCAACGAGCACACGCCGTCGCCGAACGTGTTCATGCGGAACGCCTGCGGGCCCGTGAACGAGGTCGAGGTGCCGCTGATCGAGACGACAGCCGCCTGCGCGCGAGGGAAGGGAGTGAGCGCACTCGTCGGAGGGGAAGAAGGGGCAGGGAACAGGGGCGCACGTTCTGGTACATCTCGCGATTGCCCGTGCGGTTGAACCATGACCAGAAGAAGAGACCTGTACGAGGGGCGGAAGGGTAAGCTCGTGGGCAAAAGGAACGAACAGGCCCGTGCGAGCAAGACCGCGGCGGCGCGCTCGTGTACGCAGAGAGCGGGAGAGGACGCACACTTGGAGCATCCTGGCAGTTTCTCGGGCACCTTGAACGTGTACGGCTTCTTGAGCGGGCAGTCGCCGATCCACGACGCGATGACGACCTGGGTGGCCATGTAGTCGTAGCTGACGCCGACCTGACAGCTGCCGCCATTGTGCGTGGCCGTCCCTGCGAGGTCCCACGAAAAGTCGTCGCCTGCGACGAGCGTCGCGACAGGCTCGATGGCGTCGACAATGTCCTTGGTCGCGCGACCTTTGGCCGGCCAATTCGAGCCGTCCTTCTCGAGCGGGCTCGTCATCGAGTAGTCCTTGTTGGCCTCGGCCGTTTGCGGGTCCGACTTGGAGTAGATGGCCAGCGGCGAGCTCAGCTCCATGTGGGCTGCGCATGGCCCGGCGAGGAGGGCGAGGGTGGTGGCGAGCGGGAGGAGGAAGGCGACGAGCGAGGGTCGAGCGGGCGGTCGAGGACGGCGTGGCGGCGAGCGCGCTGCGCGTCGGCAGTCGAGCGTCGACATGTGCCGCGAAAGCTCGCTGAGCATGGCGGCGGCGGCGCAACAGCTGCAGCTGGCAGCGAGAGGCGAGAGTCGCCCGGTCCGCGCGGCGTCGTCCGCCGACCGTCCCGCGGACTCTCCGGCGTCCGGCACGGGGCGTTTGCGTCGGTCGAGAAGCACCTCGGCAGCCGGGCAGCACTTCGAGCGCCGCTCTCGCTCGGGAGCGAGCGGCGGGCTATGGCTGGAGAGCGAGGAGGAGAGCGCGGAAGCCACGAGAGCGCAGGCCGGCAAGCAGGCGTGCGAGCGAGCGCGCATAGCTCGGCGACTCTTCTGCCAAGCGCTCTGGCGCAGCTCGAGCGCAGCGCGCTGGTGAGAGGTGGAGGACGACGAGAGTGCGACCCCCACTTCGCCTCAACCTCCTCCTCCTCCTCACCGCCAGCACACTCGCCCTGCTCGCATGACCGTGCCACAAGCTCCCCTGTCCATCTCTCTCGATGCCCCGCCAGTCGAGCAACTCGCCCAGCTCGCTCGCCTCAAGCGCCGTGTCGTCGGCACTCGGGCGGCAAAGCAGGCTGTCCTCAGCTCTGGCATCGCAAACAGGTGCGCACACCCTTTCTCTGCGTCAAGAGAGCGAGTGCGAGCCCACTGACCGGCCGCCCTTGCAGCCTCGTCGCCCTCCTCCAGCCTCGAGCCGGTCCCGACTTCGAGGGGTGTCTCGCGGTCAGCGCAGAAGCCGCCAACGTCCTCGCCGCATTGTCTATCCGTGCGTCAGAGCTCCCTTGAGGTCAAGCGGACCCCGAGCTAACACTATACCTGCCCCGCAGCGACCCTCGACGCCGTCGCGACCCTCTTCTCCGTCGACGCCCACCACGCCGTCTCGCTCTCGCTCCCGCACATCCTCGCCCTTGTCCCAGCCTCGTCACCATCACCCGCACAGCAAAAGGTCGTCGAGGCGCACCTGCGCGCGCTCAAGTCGCTCTTCTCCGACCTCGTGCGCGTCGTCGGGCCTCGCGAGTGGGGCACGGAGGTCATGGGCGCCTCGATCGACGCAGCCGAGCGCCGCGACGCCGAGAACCTGTGGGCCTACTCGCCGGGCGAGGACAAGCAGCCGCAGGGCCCTCGCCCGTGCGGCAAGGGCAAGGGCAAGGAGACGGACTCGATGCAGGTCGACGCGTCGGGCGGACGCGCCCGGCTCGACGTGCAGCAGCTCCAGGCGGCAGCAGCTCGCGTCCTGTGCGACGTCTACGAGCCCGCGAGCGGGGACGAGGCGCCGCTCGCTGGCTCGTCCTCGGCGTCGTCCGGCTCGAGCGGCAAAGGCGCTCGCTCGGCGACGCTCGACGCGGTCCTCAGCCTCCTCGTTTGGAGCGCGCAGGAGGACCGACACGTGTTTCGCATCGCCGAGCTCGTGTGCTCCTTCATCGCGGGCACGGTGCGGTGGCCGAGCCAGCGAGCGGCGGTCGCGAACGACGAGCGCGGGACGGCTGTGCTCGAGGCGCTCCGGTCGTTGATCGAGAAGGGCAGCGACAAGGTGCGCCCCACTCGACTGTCTGTCGACTGGAACGGCGACTGACTCATCGTTCTCCTGCTGCAGGTCCGCGAGAGCGCTCTGAGGGCGCTCGCCGTCCTCATCCGCGACGTCCCGACCTTGGTCGTTTTCTTCATCAGTGCGTCGACTTTCGCTCGAGCCCATACTCTTGCCGCCGTTCCTCGTCACTGACATGGCCCACCCACAGACTACGCCGACGGCGACAGCCTGCAGAGCCGCTTGCACCCGTTGGCGCCGCTCGTCCAGTCGCCGAGCCCGACGATCCGCCTCGCCGCCGCCACGGTCTGCTCGATCATCGCCAAGACGGTCCATCCGCGGTCATCGCTCCTCCCGGCCGAGTTCGGTTCGACTTTGGCGACCGCGCTGCTCGGCCTCATCGAGAAGGAGCCGACCCTGCGCTCCCAGGCCGCTTTCGCCTTTGGTGCGTCCCTCCTGTTCCTCTCACCCTGCCGCACAACGAGCGCCTGACCGTTTGGACCTGCAGCTTATCTCGTCGCCGACGACCTCGCCCTGCAGAAGCGCGCTGTGGCCGCTCGCTGCTTCCAGATCTTCAACGAGGCGCTCAAGCGCCCAGCGATCCTCGAGCACCCGTACCCGACGCCTGCTCTCGTCGAGGAAGACGCTCGACTACGCGAGGTGAGCCGTCGATACCCTCTTTCAGGACTTCTGCCCCGGCCTCGCATGCAGCGCGAACTGACGAGCCCGCCGCATGCAGGGCATCCTCCTTAGCATCGCCACCGTGGCCGCCCTGTCCGAGCCTCATCGGCGTCTCGTTCTCGATCAACGTCTCCTCGTCCATATCCTGTTCGGCCTGTCCTACCCGTCGGTCGGTGTGCGCGCCGCCGCGTGCCACTGCGTCCGCGCCCTCTCGCGCTCGGTCAACGTCCTGCGCACCGACCTCGTCGAGGCGCACGCCGAGGAGCAGCTCGTGCGGCTCCTGAGGGAGGACGAGAACGAAATGGTCAAGATCACGGCGGCGGCGGCGGTCGCCAACCTGCTCCTCGACTTTTCGCCGATGCGGCCTGTGCGTCCACCTTTTCCTGCCCTCCCTCCCCTTCCAGCTCGACCTCGACGCTCGAGTCGAGGCAGTGAGCTGATCGTTGTGCCTCTACAGGTTCTCGTCGACGCCGGCTGCATCGCCCGCATGTGCCAGCTCGTCGTCAAGTCGACCAACCCGGCGCTGCAGCTCAACGCCATGTGGGCCCTCAAGAACGGTGCGTCGGCTCGTCTCTCCTCGTATCTTTCGCTAAAACTGCGACTGACTCGTCGCCCTATCGAGCAGCGACGTACCAGAGCACGGCCGAGTTCAAGCGCGCCGTCCTCGTCGACCTGACCTGGGACCACCTCGCGACGTACGTCCTCGCTCTCTTCCTCTCCCCCTTCCTGGTGCGCACGTACCGACGCCCTTGTGTGATCCTCTGGCTCGCAGGCTCATCGCCTCGCCCGACGCCTCGGTCGTCGAGCCGGCGCTCTCGATCCTGCGCAACATCACCTGCGTGACCAACAACGAGGCCATCACCGGGCTCGGCGCGCACGAGATGGGCGAGGAGCGTCTCCTCGGCCTCCTGCAGGACCGGATCGCGGTCGGCGTCGCGGCGGGCGGGCGCAAGGGCGGCGAGAACTTGGTCGAGCAGGTGCGTGCGGCCGGTCCACCTTCTCGCGGCTCTCCTGCGGCCCGGACGAGTGGCAGAGTGACTGACCGAGATGTACGGTCTGCGCAGGCACTCTTCTGCCTCAACAACATCGCGACGGCGAGCGAGTCGGCGCAGCTGGCCATCGCCTCGAGGACGACCCTCCTCCGCTACGTATTCAGCTACCTCGTGCGTCCCTCCTCTCTTCTCTCCTTCTTCCCCACCTCTTCCAGTTTGCGTCTGTGTACCGCACTGATCGAGCCCCTCACGCCGACACAGGACTCGCGCCTCATCTCGCTCCGCGTCGCCGCCCTCTGGGTCCTGCACAACCTCGCCTACCGCGCCCGCCCGACCGCCTTCTCGCCTCACGCCGCCCGTCGACCGCACGAGATTGTCGACAAGCTGCGCGCGATGGGCCTCGACGCCAAGCTGCGCGTCCTCGAGCGCGACCCGGAGCTGGACGTGCGGGAGCGGGTGAGGGACCTCAAGGAGGCGCTCCTGTGAGCGCGGTCGGCGGGCGTCGCGGGCGTCGCCGTCGCCACCGTGTCGACGCTGTGCAACTCGATGGTGACCCCGAGACTGCGACGGTCCTTTCGTTCGAGAGCGCTCTCGCTCGCTCGAGGAAGTGCTGCGGCGTGTTTTGTCTTGGACTTTCTCGCGGCAGCTTGTCGCTTCTTCGCCTACAAGAGAGGCTCGAGGTCGAAGCCCTGCAGTACGCAAGCGATCTGGGCTAGCAAGAGGAGAGGCTCGCGCGGGTGGAAAGGTGAGGCGCATGCAGCGTCGTCCCGACCTTGCTCTCGGCGCCTCGTCGTCGCAACTCGCCCCCTCCCCTCTCGCAGCCCACCACCTCGCACCGTGCGTCCAGCCTGTCCAACCTGCTCCAGGGGCCTCGCACTGACCTTGCTCCCTCCTCTCCTCCCTCTCCACGCCCTCCACGGCCCCTTGTCGACATCGTGACGGCACGCTCCCCCTCCCTCCCTCGACTCGTCGTCCTCGCCCGCGCGCCACCCACCCTGGACGCGTGCGACTCGCTCCTGCACCCTCGTGCCCCACCAACAACACCATCTCGCCGCCGCGAACGCGCCCTCCTTCCGTCGTCACCGCCTCGCAGCCGCCTCACCCACCTTCCCCCGTACACCACCAGCCACCATGTCTGCCGAGCAGGACCGCGCCGAGGCCATCTATATGGCAAAACTCTCTGAGCAGGTGCGCCACACCGCCTTTTCTGTCCCCTCAGCCGGTGCCCTGGGCGAGAGAGACGACGCGGCCGTTGTTCAGGGCGGCAACGGCGGGGCCTCGTCGCGCTTGGCGACTTTGCGGCGGCGCACGAGGCTGGCGAGGGGCGGCTCCCGCGGCCCAGAGACTGTACTGACACTGCTCACACCCTGCAGGCCGAGCGCTACGACGAGGTGCGCCACGAGTCCCGCTCCTTCCCCTTTCCCCGTATCAAACCCCCGCCGTCCTCACGCCTCGCGTGTTCCTCGACCGTCGTGGCGGTCTGCCAGGTCGTCGAGCGGCATCCTGACCCACTCGCTGACGACGTGTTTGGTTGCGCGCACCCAGATGGTCAGCCAGATGAAGAGCATCGCGTCGCTCAACTCGGAGCTCTCGATTGAGGAGCGCAACCTCCTCTCGGTCGCGTACAAGAACGTCATTGGCGCTCGCCGTGCTTCGTGGAGGATTGTCTCGTCCATCGAGGGCAAGGAGGAGGTGCGTCCCGGCCATTTTCTCTCTCGTGGGAGCGCGAGGTGGTGGGTTGTGCGGCGCGGTCCTGACCCTGCCTTTCGCCCCTCCCCTTCCGTCCCTCAAGGCCAAGGGCAACAGCACCCAGGTCTCGGCGATCAAGGCCTACCGCGAGAAGATCGAGAAGGAGCTCGCCGACAGCGCGTCCACCCCCTCTCTCCTTCCGGGCGCTCTCCTGTGCCCGCCGCTCACCCGTCCTCTCTGCCTGCAGTCTGCGAGGACATCCTCAGCGTTCTCGAGAAGCACCTCATCCCGTCGGCCGAGTCGGGCGAGTCCAAGGTGCGCCCCCTCGCCCTCATCCTCTTTCTGCCCGTGCGCCGAGCTCACCTATGCCTCCCTGCGCACAGGTCTTCTACCACAAGATGAAGGGCGACTACCACCGCTACCTCGCCGAGTTTGCGACTGGCGACGTTCGCTCGAAGAACGCCGACGCGTCCCTCGAGGCCTGTGCGTCCCCCTCTCTCTCTTTCTTTCGCGTTGGGCGGTTCACTGACTCTCTCCTGCATCCTCTCCTCCTCTTACCTTACGTGTCGTTGTCGTCTGTGCCCCAAATCCCGCCCTCGCCCTTGTCGCCGCCGTCGACGCGCCCCTCCTCGACCCTCGCCCACCTCCAGACAAGTCGGCGTCGCAGATCGCGTCGCAGGAGCTCGCCCCGACGCACCCGATCCGCCTCGGGCTCGCGCTCAACTTCTCGGTCTTCTACTACGAGATCCTCAACTCGCCCGACAAGGCGTGCTCGCTCGCCAAGACCGCCTTTGACGACGCCATCGCCGAGCTCGACACCCTGAGCGAGGAGTCCTACAAGGATTCGACGCTGATAATGCAGCTGCTTAGGGACAACTTCTGAGTTTACCGCCTGTCGCTGTCGACCGAGCCCGTCCTAACCCTCCCTAGTCGCCCACAGGACCCTCTGGACCTCGGACTTGTCGGAGGAGCCGAAGGAGGACGTCAAGGCCGAGGAGCCGAGCGCCCCTGCGCCTACCGGCGAGGAGGCAGCCTGAGCGCGCTCAACGCGCTAGGCGCAGCTCCTGCGTCGCCGCCGCCGCCGTCGTCGTCGCCGTCGTCGAGTTCCCCTCTCCCCGTCGCCCGCCTCTCCCGACTTTGCCTTTCTCCCCTTGCCTCCCTGCAATCTTCTCAGTCTTTGTGCCCACTCTCCAGTGTCTCGAACGCAGCAGAAAGCGAGAGCGCGAGAGCCGGAAAGTACCATCAGACTCGGCCGCCTCCACTCGAGGAGCCGAGCGGCTCGTCGCTGTTCGCCCCACCCGTCCTCGCTCTCGACTGCGATGGACGCGCTAGCGCACGAGCGCTACTGGTACAACCCGCTGTGTTCGGGCTTCCCCCTCGACCGCGAGTCGTGGGACGTGCAGAAGTGCTTCCAAAGCACCGTCCTCGCTGCCGTCCCGCCCGCCGTCTTCGCCCTCGTCGGCGGCTTCGAGTTCCCCGGTCTGTGGAGGCGGTACAGAGATGGGGAGCGGCAACGAGTGCCCGCTCAGGGCGAGGCTGCGCACAAGGTCAAATCGGTGCGTCCCCTCTCCCCCTCCTCGCTCCTCGCAGCGATGACAGCTTTCGAGATCGAGCGCGGTGTAGGGCGGTTGCGGGACGGCAGCACTGACTTGTTCTCGCACTCCTGCAGGGCCTCCTCTATGCGCTCACGGCGCTCCAGATCGGCTCGGTCGTCACCACGGCACTCGACGCGCACCACGAGGGGCACTCGGGCCTGCGCGTCTTCCTCGACCCGAGCTTTCCTTTCAGCCTCCTCGTCCTCGGCGCACATGTGCGTCGCAGTTTCGCCGCTCAACCCGCGCCGCACGAATTCACCTGAGCCTCCCCCTCCCGCAGGTCTTCTCGCACTTTGTCGCCCTCGTGTCGCACCCTCTCCTCCCTGCCGGCTCGACGGCACTCCTCTTCTGGTCCCTCCTGTCGCAGGCCGTCTCGACCGTCGAGCTGCGGTCCTACCTGATCGCCCCCGTCGCGCCTCGTCACCTCACCGGTCGCCCGCTCGTCCACTTCATCTTCCTCGTTCTTCGCCTTTCCTTCCTCGCCATCTTCTTCGGTCTCGAGCTCCTCGGTCCGCGAGGCTGGGAGGGCATGAGCTGGCGCGACTTTGTGCCGTTCGTCAAGAACGAGGGCAAGATCCGGCTCGGCGAGGCCGAGGAGGAGCGCCGGCACGCCTACCCGGACGACGAGACGGCGACGGGCAAGAACGGCGACGACGAGTACATCGAGCCCGAGTGCCCGAGGCTGCGCGCCAACATCTTTCAGCGCCTCACGTTCAGCTGGATGACGCCCATGATGAAGACGGGCTACCGCAAGTTCCTCACCGAGGAGGACCTGTGGGCTCTGCCGGTGTGTCTCGTCTCTCCTTCTCCTCGTTCTCGTCGCCATCGTAAACCGAGCCTGACCCGCTGCCGCACCTGCAGCCCGACGACACCGCTCGCGCCCTCGGCGACCGACTCGAGAAGGCGTGGCAGTCGCGCCGTGACCAGCTCGCGCACAAGGCGGGCTCGCCGTCGGCGCTCCCAGGCCAAGAAGCTTCGTACGCGGTCGCGCCGGCCGATGGCAAGGACAAGCAGCAGGGCGTCAAGGAGAAGCGGCCCAACCTTGCCGGCGCGCTCGTGAGCGCGTTCGGCGGCCCTTTTTTCCTCGCGGCCGTCTTCAAGGTGCGCCTCGTCATCCTCTCCCTCTCTTCTCTACTTAGTTGGGCACTGACGCTCGTGCGTGTGCAGCTCGGGCAAGACACCTTGGCCTTCCTCCAGCCGTGGCTCCTCAAGCGCCTCCTCCAGTTCGTCGGCTCGTACAACAGCCCGACGGGCGAGCCGGCCTTCCACGGCTACGCCTTGGCCCTGGGCATGTTCCTGTGCGCCATCACGCAGACGGTGCGTCCCCTCGTCTCTGTCTCGCGCAACGTCGAGCTTGAGAAGGTCGACAACGACGAGCGCCTGACCAACTTTTGCCCGTACAGCTCCTCCTGCACTGCTACTTCTCGCGCGTGTTCGAGACGGGCATGCGCGTGCGCACCGGCCTCATCTCGCTCATCTACAAGAAGGGTGCGTCCCCTCTCACTCGAGCCCGTCCGTCCCTCCTACCGGCACTGACATTCCCTCTCGCCCTGCGCCCTCAGCTCTCGTTCTCGCTCCGGCCGAGCGCGGTGGACGTCTGACGGGCGACATCGTCAACCTCCAGTCGACCGACGCGACCCGCCTCCAGGACTTGTGCACGTACGGCCAAATCGCCTGGTCGGGCGTCTACCAGATCACGCTCGCCTTCATCTCGCTGTACAGCCTCCTCGGCTTCACCATGCTCGTCGGCGTCGCCGTCATGATCGCCAGCATGCCGCTCACGGCCGCCATCGCCCGGTACCAGACCAAGCTGCAGCGCCAGCAGATGAAGAACAAGGACGCGCGCACGTCCATCATGAGCGAGATCCTCAACAACATTCGCTCGATCAAGCTGTGCGTCCTCGCGTTCTCTCCTTCCCCTCTCTCGTCAACCCGAGCGGTTTACTGACACTGCTCCCTCCTCCTGCGCAGGTACGCCTGGGAGGACTCGTTCGCGCAGCGCCTGTTCGACGTTCGCAACAACAAGGAGTTGCGTATGCTCAAGAAGATGGGTGCGTCGAGCGCTCGCTCTCCTCGACCCCAACTTGGAGGCACTGACTCACCCTCGCCCTCTCGCGCAGGTTACCTGTCGGCCTCGTCCAACTTCCTGTGGTCCTTCACGCCGTTCGCCGTCGCCTTTACGACCTTTGCCCTGTTCTCGACCATCTCGGGCAAGCCGCTCACGAGCGAGATCGTGTTCCCGTCAATCACGCTTTTTCAGCTGCTCGGGTTCCCTCTTGCCGTGCGTCCCGCTCTCCTTCTTCGCCATGGGCGACTCGCGTCCTGACTCGGGCACGTCGAGCAGGTCCTTCCCGTCGTCTTCTCGTCGCTCGTCGAGGCGTACGTCTCGATCGACCGCATCACCGACTTCCTCGTCGCGAAGGAGATCCAGGCCGACGCCGTCACCGTCTCGCTCCCGTCGCGTGAGCTCCAGGACGGCGACGAGCTCCTCTCGGTCGTGCAGGGCGACTTTACGTGGACGCCGCTCCCGGCACCCGACGCGCCCGCCTCGACGCCGCCGCCGCTCAACCACCTCCAGGACATCAGCGTCAGCGTCAAGAAGGGTGAGCTCATCGCGGTCGTCGGGCGCGTCGGCGACGGCAAGAGCTCGCTCCTGAGCGCCATCCTCGGCGAGATGAACAAGGTCGACGGCCAGGTCACGGTGCGAGGAACGGTCGCCTACACGGCGCAGCAACCCTGGATCATGGGTGCGTCCTCTCTCTCCTCCTCCTCTCCCTCTTTGCGTCTCGTACTGACGGCGACGAGCGTCCGCAGGTGGCACGGTCCGCAGCAACATCACGTTCGGCTTCCGGTACGAGCCCGAGTTCTACGACCTCGTCCTCGAGGCGTGCGCGCTCAAGGAGGACCTCAAGCTCTTGCCGCAAGGCGACGCGGTGCGTCCAGCTGTCCTTCCCTCTCTCTCTCTCGGAGCTCGCTCACTGACCTCTTCTCGTTCCACAGACCGAGGTCGGCGAGAAGGGCATCAGCCTCAGCGGTGGGCAAAAGGCGAGGGTGGCACTCGCTCGCGCCGTCTACGCTCGCGCCGACATCTACCTCCTCGACGACCCGTTGAGCGCCGTCGACGCGCACGTCGCCGCCCACCTGTTCAACCGCGTGATCGGGCCCGAGGGCCTTCTCAAGGACAAGGCGCGCCTGCTCTGCACGAACGCCATCCCGTTCTGCTCGCAAGCCGACCAGCTCCTGTTCCTGCGCAAGGGCGTCGTCCTCGAGCGCTCGACGTACGAGGACGCCATGCAGGGCGACACCGAGCTGTCGCGCCTCCTCATCGAGTTCGGCAAGTCGAGCGAGGAGGGCGGGTCCGACTCGGAGGGCGACACGGCCGTCGGCGACACGCCCGTCGTCGTCGGCGACGCGGCCGACGAGAAGGCCGAGGAGCCCAAGCAGGACGAGGCCAAGCTCGACGCCGAGGACCTCGCCGTCAAGCTCAAGATTGCCGAGAGCCGAGCGCTCACTCACCGCGCCCAGCCCATCCCGGCCGACGAGCAGAAGCGCGACACGCTCCGGCAACTCAAGCGCAGCAGTCGACCCAAGGAGAACCGCGAGCAGGGCTCGGTCAAGTGGAGCGTCTACAAGGACTACATCAAGGCCAACGGCTACATCGGCGTGCGTCCCGCGCCTCTCTCTCTCTGCTTCTACCTCGTCGTGCACCTTCCCGAGCACTCACTGACCCTGCCCCTCGCCGTCGCCGCCGCCGCTCGCAGGTCTTCCTGTACATCTTCACGATCGTCTCGCAGCAGCTCCTTCAGATCGGCACGAACGTCTGGCTCAAGAACTGGTCGCAGCGCAACTCGGAAACGGGCGACAACGAGCACGTCAAGTACTACCTGTCGGTCTACGCCGCCCTCGGCTGCGCGGCGTCGCTCGTCTTCTTCCTCAACGGCGTCCTCCTGTACTCGCTCTGCGTCATCCGGTCCGCCAAGCTCATGCACGACAGCATGTGCGTCTCTCGTTCCTCCTCCCTCGAAGCCCGAGCATGCAGGGGCTCATCCTTCTCGCTCGCGCGCAGGTTCAACGCCGTCGTCCGCTCGCCGATGCGCTTCTTCGAGACGACGCCGATCGGGACCATCCTCAACCGCTTCAGTCGCGACGTCTACGTCATCGACGAGGTCCTCGCCCGCACCTTTGGCGGCTTTGCGCGCACGCTCGCCGGCGTGGTCGGCATGATCGTGGTTATCTCGAGCTCGGCGCCAGCCTTCCTCCTCATCCTCGTGCCGATTCTCTTCGTCTACAAGCGCATCCAGACGTGCGTTTCGTCTCCCTTATCGCCCAGGCGTCCGTCGAGGCGAGAGACTGACCTGGTCGCCCGCCTGCAGCTACTACCTCTCCACCTCGCGCGAGCTCAAGCGGCTCGACGCCACGACCAAGAGCCCGATCTTTGCGTCGTTCCAGGAGACGCTCTCTGGCGTGTCGACCATCCGCGCCTACCGCCAGAACGCGCGCTTCACGGCCGAGAACGAGGCGTACGTCGACCGCAACCAGAACGCGCTCTTCCCGTCGCTCAACTGCAACAGGTGGCTCGCCGTTCGTCTCGAGGTGCGCACCATCTCTCTCCTCTCATTCTGTGCGACCGAGGCGTCGTCAACAAGGGCGATCGAGCTCATTCTCGGACCCGCAGTTCCTCGGCGCCGTCCTCATCTTCTCGACGGCCATTCTTGCGGTCGCCACCCTCGTCCGCTACAACACCGTCAACGCCGGACTCGTCGGCCTCATGCTCAGCTATGCCCTGTCGACGACGCAGACGCTCAACTGGATCGTGAGGAGCGCCACCGAGGTCGAGACCAAGTGCGTCCTCTGCCTCTTTTCCGTCTTTCTCTCGCGCCCTCTCGCGCCCCATTGACACAGGTACTCTCACGCAGCATCGTGTCGGTCGAGCGCGTCCAGGAGTACACCCAGCTCGAGCCCGAAGCGCCGCTCGAGGTCCCCGCCAACAAGCTGTCGCCCGACTGGCCGCAGCAGGGCGTCATCCGCTTCGACCACGTCAAGGCGCGGTACCGCGAGGACCTCGACCTCGTGCTGCGCGACGTCAACTTCGAGATCAAGGCAGGCGAGAAGGTCGGCGTGTGCGGGAGGACGGGCGCGGGCAAGTCGTCGCTCACCATGGTGCGCCCACCTTTCTCTCTCTCGTCCTGCACCCGAGCGCTCGCAGAGACTGACGTCGGTTTTGTGTGCGCAGGTCCTGTACCGCATCGTCGAGCCCGAGGGCGGCGTCATCTCTATCGACGGCGTCGACGTCGGCAAGATCGGCCTGCACGACCTGCGCTCGCGCCTCAGCATCATCCCGCAAGACTCGCAGATGTTCGCCGGCACGTTGAGGCAGAACCTCGACCCGTCGGGCCAGGCGACCGACGCCCAGATGTGGGCGGCTCTCGAGCAGTGCCGGCTCAAGGAGCACGTCGAGAGGATGGTGCGTCCTCCTCTCTCTCTCTATCTCCTCTGTTCATCTCGGGCCGAGCTCACGTTCTCTTCTCTCGCAGGAAGGCAAGCTCGATGCCCAGATCGACGAGGGCGGCACCAACTTTTCGAGCGGCCAGCGGCAACTCATCTGTCTCGGTCGCGCGCTTCTTCGGCGCAGCAAGATCCTCGTCCTCGACGAGGCGACGGCCGCCGTCGACGTCGAGAGCGACCGCGACATCCAGACCGTCATCCGCCGCGAGTTTGCCTCGTGCACCATCTTCGTTATCGCGCACCGGCTCAACACGAGTGCGTCGTCCCTCCTTTTCTCCCTCTCAGTCGCCCTTCTCTCTCTCTCTTCGAGCACCTCGCCTGACCCTCTTCTCCCTTCCTCTCCTCTTCTCCCTCATCGTGCTCGCAGTCATGGACTGCGACAAGATCCTCGTCATGTCGGCGGGCGAGGTGGCCGAGTTCGACTCGCCGGCCAACCTGCTCGCCAAGCCCGACGGCATCTTCCGGGCGCTCGCCGCCGAAGCGGGCGTCATCAAGAGCGGCGCCAACACGCCGAGGTTTGGCGGCAAGACGCCGAGGAGCGGCGCGAGGACGCCGGCGAGGAGGGAGTGAGCGGGACGAGGACGGAGGGTGGCTCGAGGGCGACTTATGGTTCCTTCTTCCTGCAACGATATCCTTATCTCTGCATCGTCTCTCGCTACGAGAGCTCGCCGTTGAATCGTCGATCTCGTGAGGCTCGCTGCGCGGGACAGACCCTGTGCGAGAGTGCCTGTGCCGCACGACAAGCTCGTCGCGCTCGAGCCTCTCTCTCTCTCAAGCTCTCGACGTTGGCCGTCCTGGGTCCTCCCACCTGACGCACCGAGAGAAAGAGAGGGAGAGGAACCGAGAATGATTACAACACAAAGGCGATGCGGCACAGACACGAAACAGGCCCTGGCGGGGCGACGACCCTCTCCTCCCTCTCCCTCTCGCCCCCTGCTCGTGCACTCCTCGAGCTCGACTAGAGCACGACGCTCCTCGCGCCGTCGTCCCACGTCCTCGCGACGCCGTGGCCGAACCCATTCGCGAGCCCGCCCAAGCCGCCGCCGCCGTCGCCTCGCAGGCGGCCCAAGCCCGGGTCCGGCCCGCGCAAGAGCGTCTCGACGTCGTTCCTCGACGCGCGGAAGAACGTGCGCTTGCGCCGCGTCGGCGGCGCCAGCGGCAGCCCTCCTCGCTCGTCGCCGTCGACGTCCATGCCCGCGCCCGCGCTCGCCCCGCCGCCACCGCCGCACTCGTCCTCGGCCTGGGCGGCGGCCTGCGCCGCGCGGGCGAGGCGCTCTCGACGCTCGTCGGTGCGCCGCTTGGCGTCGCTGCTGACGTAACTCTGCGCGAGGCGGCGCTTGCGGCGCGCGTGCGAGTCCGGGTCCTCGTCGTCCGAGTCGTACTCGGCCTCGAGGTGGGCGCCGCTGGCCGTGCCCGTGCGGGCCGACTGGGCCGCGAGGGCCGTCGAGCGGATGCGCGCCGAGAGGCGCACGTCGAGGTCCGAGTCGGCGTCCGAGTCCGAGTCGGCGTGAGGCGCGTACGACGACGAGGCGAGGTCGAGGCCGACGGGCTGGAGCTGGGACGAAGGTGCAAAGGGCAGGTTGCGCAGTCCTTCGAGGATCGAGGCACTGTTGTCGTCGAGGAAAGGGAGAACGAGTCAGGACGCGCCCGACGAGAGAAAGGAGACAGAGAGAGGCGGACGCACGTCGTCTTTTCGAGGTACTCGCGCGAGTTGGCGTTGTCCATGTTGTTGCTCGGGACGTCGAGCTTGAACTCGGGGCCAAAGTACTCGAGGTACTCGTTGAAGGGCAAGTCGCGGCCCATCTCGACGCCGCACGCGAGGCCCGTCTCGAAGGCCCAGGTGCGGGCCACGTTGCGGATCGTGTAGCCGCCGCCGCCGACGATGATCATGGGCACGTTGAAGGTGCGCATAAAGGCGACGCACTGGGCGTGGCCCGACATGCTCAAGTTGAACGACCCGAGCTTGTCGCTCGCGAGCGAGTCGGCGCCGCACTGGAGGACGACGGCGCCCGGGCGGTACCAGTCCATGATGTGCTGCAGGACGGGGCGGAACACGCTGCGGTAGCTGTCGTCGTCGATGCCGTCCTTGAGCGGGTAGTTGACGGCGTAACCTTTGCCGCGCCCTTTGCCCTTGTCGCCCTCGGCGCCTGTGCCGGGGAAGAAGTCGCCAAACTTGTGGAACGAGGCCGTCATGACGCGGTCGGTCGTGTAAAAGGCCTCCTCGACGCCGTCGCCGTGGTGGACGTCGATGTCGATGTACAGGACGCGCGAGTGGTACCGCAGCAGCTCGAGGATGGCGAGGACGATGTCGTTGATGTAGCAGAAGCCCGACGCCTCGCGCTTCTTGGCGTGGTGGAGGCCGCCGGCCCAGTTGACGGCAATGTCGGCTTTGGCGTCGATGAGGCGACGTGCGGCGCTGAGGGACCCGCCGGCCGAGATGGAGCAGAACTCGAACAGGCCCTCGAAGGCCGGGCAGTCCTCGCCGATGAGGAAGCGCTGACCGTGGCCCGTGATGTCGTCAAAGGTTTCTGGCGAGACGCGGGCGAGGCAGTCGATGTACTCGTCGGTGTGGAAGCGCGTCATCTCGTGAGGGGTGCAGCGGTCGGGTCGCTGCAGAGGGTCGAGAGAGGGGGTGAGCTCGAGTTGGCGAGAGAGAGGGAGAGGGAGGGGTGGAGACGCACGAGGACGTCCATGTGCTTGTCGAGGCCGTAGTTGGTGACGAGGTTGTGGGCCATCTTGATGCGGTGCGGCTTCATCGGGTGGACTGGGGAGGGGAGCAGGGGTGAGCATGCGAGCGGGGCGGGTTGTGGGAGGGCGGTCTGAGAGAGGGAGAGAGAGCTCACCGAGGTTGAAGGCGTATGCGCCGACATCGTCTGGAGGTGCATGGGAGGGTGAGCTGATGAGGACGAGGACGAGAGGGGGCAGAAGGAGGGGGACGGACTGTCGTAGTAGTAGGCGACAGTGCGTTTGTCAGGCCCGCCTGGAGCTGTGCTGAGCAAATGCACGTCCTCCATGGCGGCGAGTAGCGAGGGAGCGAGCAGGCGACAGGAGGAAGAGGAGGAGGAGGAGCACCGCCCTCTCGTCCCTGTCCCTCTCGTCACCGCGACTAGGGCCAGCTGCTGCTCTTACCTGGCCATGATGAGCCCTCAGCGACACACCCCGACCCACAATGGCTCGTCCTCTCACCAGGAGCGCTCCCCCCTCTCCCCTCGTCACCCCTCC